CCAAGCCGACTTCAGAAATAAATGGCACAGTCTGACACAGAGTGCTCGATAACGACGAGTAGGCCACCTATTTTGTGATAGTCAGTGCTAGTAATAAGTACGAGGATCCCGCTATACTCAAGAGCAGACAGGATATCCTTTGTGAGGGAAGATAATCTGATAGCTAATAGTTAATCACTCTACTTTGTTGGCGGCGTGCCCTCCCTTCGTAAGACTTGTGCCACTTATTTTTGAAGTCGGCTCGCTGGGTACATACCTACGGAGGAAAAGGGGTCCAACCTCCCCCCTGGACCACTGGCCGAGATCTGATTACCTTAATGATGAGGTACATACCTAGCTCCCTAGGTACCTAATGTCCCGACAGAACAGAACACAGACACAAACCCAGTCAGCACCTTCGCCGCCTGCATTGTGGTACGCGCTGACGAGCGACACCATCTGCTACCAAAGCGGCTACGATGGGGGGTACCTCGTACCAGCAGTTCGTATCAAACGATGTTTCTTGCATCGAGTTCTCCGCTGCCCAGGACTTTTACGCGCCGAGTCGGAACCGACCGGTACAACGAAAAAAATGAAAGTACCATACAGGAGGAAATATCCACTCCGTACTCTATTGCTCTGTACGAGCAGGGTATAGGTGGGTCCCACTGTTGAGTAAGAGGGTAGAGGGATGTGATGGATACAAAAGAGATAGCTTCGCTACGTAGAAATTTGTGACCGCCGATAGTTCCACATAGAAAGGGATAGAAGCCGCATCTGCCCTCTCGGCTGCACAAGGAAGCAGATCATGTCAAGGTAAAGTGTGGGATATGATTAATTAATTGCTGGTGATCCCCTATCTCTGCCTGGCTCTGCATTATCATGCAGAGCTATGCTCTGCTCTGCGTTGCTCTGCGCGAACGAAGCTCAAAATGTATCCTACCCCACGCACCACTTCCGTCCATGTCACTAGTATACAGAGGTAAGAAGGATCAAATCACACAGTCGGCCGTTTCTCAGTCCTTAGGTTTCAAAATGTTGCAAAGAGATGAATGGTCATGAGGCCAGAAATTCCCGCTGGCCGTGATGGACGCTCAAGTCCATCCTTTTTGTTTGAGCGAGAAACGTCGTCAATAAATGCAAATAGCTGGAGTTTGCATCTGTTAAGCGCACAAGGTATCAAGTGGAGAAGATTAGATTTGTATGTGGTTCGTGATGAGATCGAGTTGACGTAGGTTGCGCGATGAGATGGATTGTGCTTGCCTTAACCGCTCATTGCCAGGGAGGACGGCCGGTCGATGGTCGAGGGGACGGGCGTCTGAAGAAGGCGGGTTGCTGCACTGAAGGATTCTAAATCGAGTTGATGCTGTAAAAAGACTTTCCCGCCAGGCGCGTGAACGCCGTGTTTCTCCCGAAGAAAGCCACCATTCGCCATGCAGGAGATAAGAGAGGAGTAGTTGTGCCGACATAGATCACAAAAGAGATGGTTCAGTATGCTGTTTCCATGCCCATCAGCTGGTCTGACACTTGTGGCATGCCGGTGACCGGATCCAGGTGGAGCTCATCGACATATCCAACGAGAGCTTGAGCATGGAGCTTGAATGATTCGCCCATGGTTTTTGAGATTCTGTGACAGAGTTAGCATCGACGAATGGTCACTCGAGAAATCCGACTTACCCCCAAACAACCACACCATCCAACATAGACCCCCAGACTCTAGCAACAGTAGAGCTCAGGCGTGATCCGTTTGAATCGACAGCATCGTCGTCAAACAGGCCCCGCACTTTCATGTACATGGAAAGCTCTTCATCCGTAGCTTCTTGATCGTCGTGCTCGATGCGATAGAGCCATAGACTCAGAATGGTGATCAGATCCAAGCCGCAAAGAGGATGCTCGATGCTCCAGTTGGTTGAAGAAGTCTTTGTCACCCAGTTGATGCCCTGCATCGCAACAATCTCCATGCACTCGTAGCATTGCTCAATCACCTTGATCATTTCCTTGGTTCTTTTGACCGCGTCTCGGGATAATGTCATGGCTCCTGCGATCTCATACGAGTTGTGATAGCGCAAAGCTTCTTGGACATTCTTAAGGTCCACTTCGAGGAAAGCCCTGGTGTTTCGATACACAGCCATTGAATTGAAAATGAGCGGGTGGCTCTTGTGCGGAGTGCTGAGTGGGACAACGATGGTTTCCGGTTCGCAAAGATCAAGGGATCTCTCCCAAGTTTCCAAAGCGATTCGAATCTTCCACTCAAGAACAACGTCCTGCAACGATTCAAAGCTTCGCCTGAGATTCCACACCTCCAAAAAGAGTGCATTGATCATCACACGAGTTGCAAACGCGCTGTACCTGGCGGCGTCACCCTGGAATAGACTGTCGTGCGCTTCCCTGACAGTGATCGTGGGCGAAGCTGCAAAAATGTCTTGCCAAGAATCCTCATCGCTCGGTTCAATGTTCCACAATGATTCTGACGAAGGTAGAAGCAACGAATCGAACTCATTGAAACTGATAGCTGGAGTGTGATTATAGGTCAAGGTCAACATGCCAAAGAAGATGTAGACGGCATAGTAGGTTCTTCTACATCCTTCTTCGGTAACCCATTCTTGATGGGTTGGTGGAGTGCCAGAACGGGCATCAACTCGTAGCTTCAGCTCGTATTTGTTACCAGCGACCATCTATAGAAATTAGCTTGCGCCTCCGACATGCTCTGGAAACACTTACGTTCGCAAGCAGGCTTTTGATAGAACATGCCCACTCCAAGCCTTGAGAGCCACCGCTCCAGCTTTCAAAAACCATGTTGAGAAGCGTGCTCTGCATCGTCCAAAGTGGGCATTTCCGCGAGTCAAAATTGTCCTTGTTCTGAAGGAACTGGTTTACGAGCTTCTTAGACCCGTGATGAAGCAGATATGCTTGTTCCTGGTCGAAGTTGTACAGCGCGCCGATAGAAAGGATGGCAAGGAGAAGAGCCGGTTCGGTTGTCTCGGGCCGGAAACTGACAGGGTGAAGAAAGGGTAGATGGTGGTGGAATAGGTTGAAGTAGGTGGTAAGGTAGAGATTGACTGTGGGCAACGAGGGAAGGGAAATGTCTCCGCCTAGTTGATTAGCAATCATAGCTCTCTCATCTTCGTTGTTAAACTGTGGAGCTTTGGGTAAAGAAAGGGGCTGGGCTGGGCCAGGCGACTTGCGATAGTTCACTGGCGAGACAGGACCGGTCATGGACGGAAACGGTGAGAGCGCATTGGGTGTAGGGGTGCCGGAGACGGGAAAGGTGTCTGCCAGACCAGGGAAAGCGGAGGGTAGAGAAGCACTGAGCGAGCTTGTGCGTTCCATGATGGGCGGTAGCTGCGATTGATGGGGTTGTATCGATCCCATGTGGACGAACGGCGGCTGTGACAGGTTATCTTGCGACGACATGCTGGACATGGAATGCGCCTTGGGCTCCGAAGGTCCCTGGGGCATGAAGCTGTCCCAAGGCATATGGGGTAAGCTGTTGGCGCCACCGAGATAGTCGGACGATTCGAGGAGCGAGCTGCGATCTGGGGAGTAGCCGGGTATTGAGCCTTCGCCGTTGTTCAGATGACCGTTCGCTGCTGCGGCCGCCTTGTGTTGGAAGTCTGTCATCAACATGGCGGCAGTTTCAAGGTCGAGCATACCATCGCTGCTTGCCTCTATCTGCTCCAACGTGCCAGGGTCGATAGTGATGGAGGGCTTGGACGGAGCAGCAGCCGTTGAGAGCGCCGCTTTCGTCCCTGCGCCTGCACCTTTATCGGTACCTGTAGTTGTACTTGACTTCTTCTGTCTTCCCTCAGACTGCAGAGGTACACCGCCATCCTTCGCATGTACGGTTCGGTCGTGGCGGAGGAGCAGATCTCGGCGGACGAAGGTGCTGCGACATTTCTGGCATTTGAAGGGCCGCTCCTTGGTGTCTGTCAAGGGATGAAATGTTAGCAAACGGTCCAACAGTAGATGGATAGTTGATGGCGGGGTTGGATTTCTCCTATTGCCCCACGTCGCAACAACCGAAAAAAAGTTGGTGACTTACGCGACCGCTCGTGTCGACTCCTATGTTCGCTTCGACTGAAGGCTCGGTTGCAGTACTGGCATTTGTACTTCTTTTCAGGCGCAGAAGCAGCCTTTTTGGGCGGGACGCTCGTCGTCGCGGCTGCGGCGGTGGCAGGCTCAGCGGCGGTGGCAGAGTCAGACTGGGCCATGGCGGATGTAAATTGAGGGTTAAAAGTCCTCCGACCAGGCGCAAGCCTTTGGCTCGAAAGTGAGTTGGTTCAGAGGTGTTGATGTCGCCGTGATCATTCCGTGTGGGATCCGCGCACCGCTCGAGTTCGATTAGAGGGAAGAGGTGAAAGGGAGGATTTGAGGAAGGGTTGGCACGTTGGTTGCAGCTGTGGGCTCCTCTGGCAGCAAGTGCTGGGCTGGGTCGCTGGGTTGGTTCGCGCGGTGACTTGAATGGATGCGTCTCCGAGACTCGATTGGCGAAATGCACCAGTCAAAGTGGATCACGTGTGTATGCGTGAAGTGTGCTATTGAATATCAACCGACCAGCAGCGACACGCTGCAACGACTGCAATGGTGGAATTATAATACAGGAGTCGACGAGATCAAGACGACGAAGGGGTGTGTTGGTACAGTGCAGGGGAAAGAGATGTGTGCGATGAAAAGAAATGAAAACGGGAGGAGGGGCAAAAAGAGGGAGGGAGGGAGGGAGGAGAGGGAAAGGACGGAGGGGAGGGCGAGAGGGCTGTTCGGGGGGGGGGCCAGCTCAGTGAGAGAGTCCAGGCGAGGAGCAGGCGAGGGCCCAGGCATCTCCCTCAGCCCACCAGCCCATGGGTGCCATGATCCCGCTCGGTGAGAACCCTGAAGCCCCTGAAAATTGCTACAGTGACCAACTCATCACTGGAGTCTGGCACCCAACTGGGCCACTGGCCGAGGGGCACCCGAGCAAACCCAGTAACCTGAACGGACCCGCGCCATTCCCAGCTGGCGGGTCCCCGTTCCTCCTTCTCCCTTCCCATCGCTTCCCACACCAGCTTCGAGTGCCACCCTTCGAGAAGAGACCTCATCCATCCACCATCCACCAGATGGGGACCAACTTCCCCGGCAGCCTACGACGACAAACCCATTAAACCGGCCTGGACTCTAACGTTAGGAAACTTAGTATGGCCTGTCTACACCTGTCATTTTCTGCGGAAGACCACTTTCGAGATACCGGAGTTGCTGGAAGCCCACTTCGAAGCCTCATCCCCGGTTCCGAGATACCTGTCAATTTGGTCACAGGAACTCAGAGCCGATTCCACGAATGGCGGCCAAGTCAATGTGCCATCTCAACTTGTGGGAAAGTGATGGACCTGATGGTGAGTTGACCTTCGGCGTCACGAGACACACATGCAGGCAACTGCGCAGTTTACGGATACAAAGAAGGCGCCCGAGATGTGCTCGTCATCACACCCTCGAATCCTCGAATGCCATCCTGCTGGATGGACCTGATGTGCCTCAGGCTTGGACACGATTCCATCTGGCCCCAGCCACCTCACCTTCACCAGCCATCTCTCGAATCTCACGGCCACAAGCTTCGGACCGTACCCACGCTTGTGCCGTCCCTATGCAGCGTGACGCCCAAAAACGATGCTCCCACTCACAGCACCTCCGACACCCACGCAGTTTCTCCCATTGGATTGACTTGCGATCCAATTAATTGCTTATGGTGGTCGTAACGGTGAACACAGGTGGCCACCTGACCGTATCAGAGACTGGTATTTGTTGCTCCGCGCAGATTAGAGCAATCGTGGCACCAAGCAAAAAAAAAAGTGGGAGAACAAAGTGTCGGATCGTCAGCACTTAGAATCTCGCCTTGGCTCCTGTTCCTGCATTTTCCCATGCAACTTGCAGCTCCTTGATCTCATGGGGGGACGCGGTCTTCAATCAAGACGTGGAGCTCGCTAAGCAAGTCTGCTTGCAGAACAACTGGTCTGACTTCCTCTTTCCAGGCGAGGGACTGAGAAGATTTCCACCGTCAGACGGGCATCCCTTTTCTCTGACGTGGCGGGACCGTCAAGGACTAGGAAGCATCACCCCTCCTTCCGCGACCTGGTTCGAGGCATTTCCCATGCTCCCGAGTTCCCATCCTCGTGGACAAACCCAGGTTGGTGGGCCTGGGTGGGTAACATAGCGGGATTCAGAGGGGTGTTGGCAGAAACAATTTGACACCCCAAAAGAAAGATTAACAGCAACTTCTCCTGACAAGATAGCAACGAGTCGGCCTGTTCAAAACGAGTCATACATACATAAGCTTTGGAGATGTCTCTACGCCCTCCCGAACAACGGCCAGGTTTGGAACAATCCAAATGCTTGTGGAACTGAGGCAAAGATTTGTTCCAGAGTCAATCGTACAGCAACCAGCTCTTGCTCCGCGGGACGAGGCACCCTGCACTTTCGTATAGCCCCGCGAGGGAACCCCTCCCTCACACCTAATCTGATGAGGTTGCCGGTCGTTCCCTCCCTTATCACGCCATCTCTCATCTTCAGGCGATCTCACTGGAGGCATTGCAAGAGACGGTGAACACATTTCGAACAATGCATTTCCGGAGTACTCTCCCCGCCAGCCGCCTGATCCTCTACCACCGCTAAAAGAGCCTTGAAAGCCAAACCTGCCAGCAGTTCGCCAATTGTGGCTTCAAGCTGTTCCGTGTGGTCGGTCCAGGAGGCAAGGGGACAGCCCACCGAGCAGTTTGCTTCCATTCAGGCCAGGGCTGGCAAAGCTCCAGAGCCCCAGCAGGGCCAGCACCACCAGGAGCCACAGCGGACACCGCCTCCTTCGCGCCCGCCGGAATACCCACAAGCCGTCAGAGCTACCAAGCTCTCCACCCACCCACTTTTCTTATGGAGACTGCAGACAATTTCCGTTTGTGTTGCATCGGTCGTCAAGTTCTGCTGTTTTCGAAACCCCTTTGTGCCTTAGTCACTGCGATTCGAGAAACTCCACGGAACCATGAATCTCCTTCGCTTGGCCGGCAATTTCGCACCGTCAGGTTTGTAACATCTGAGCAACCGAGGGGCTCGGAGGGGTATGGCTGGTTTGCTTTGCGTCGAAATTTTTGTTCCTCAAGCTCTGCAACATGCCTCCAGAAGCAAAGCAGGCAGTACCTGGTTGTAACGTCCATCAACTTTACAGGAAGAAAAGAATCAATCAAGAACAAGCAAGCGCCAGGTGCCCTGGAAAGCTCGACCTCGTCAACGGAGGGGCATGCCGATGCCAATTGTCTGACCTCTTTGGCTTCCAAACCCCTGACGAGCTGATTGAACAACACTTTGTCCAAAAGCATGGCATGCAAGAATGCTATTACGTCTTGCTTGTCATCATCACCAAGAATAGTAGGAAGTCCGTACATGGAGTACGTTGATATGCTGGATTGTTTCATTGGATGCAAGCCAAACTAAAAACGCATCCTAGCCGAACCGAAAACACAATTGGCACACTGATGGCATATCTCCAGGCTTCACAAACATCAAGCTCGGCCGGAAACGGTCGTGGATTCTCCAGGTACCTCACTGACCTCCATCAAAGATCAGCTGAAGATCCCGATCTTCGTTGTTTTCCAGAGCAGTCCAAAAACGATGACCAAATCGTAGTGGAAAAATGTTTTCGAACGCAGTCGTTCTGAAGCACCTGGTAGAAGGGCATGTACTGAGAGTTCAGCTCGGTATCCACGCAGTGAGTTGGCCTCTCCTATCTCAGTGAGTATATGTTACGAGCTCCTTTTCTGGTCCATAGGTGTTCTGCTGGGCCGTCATTATCTTGGCCCTATTTTTGTTCTTTGTTGGCTCTTGCTTTTCTCTTTTTCATCCCAAGCACGTCACATCGCCATTTTCGCAGTGTCAGTGCCCGACGTTGATACCCCTCTTCAGCCTCTCCACGAGCGCCTCCAACTCAGCATTGCGATCCTCGAGCGTTGCTACCTCCTTTTGCAGTGCCTCCTTCTCTGACCTCAGCTGCTGGACTTTGGTCGCCATCTTCTCGCGATGTCTCAGGCTATCTTCGAACATGGTCTCAACGCGACTCAGCAGCAGATCGCCTCTCGTTCCGCCAGTGGCAACCGAGTCAGCACCAGTGCTGGGCGTTGTCATGGATCGAGCGCGTAATTCGGTGTTTGCTTTCTCAAGCTCCAAAACACGTTGCTCCATCGCAGCCGTACGTGCTTGTTGCCACAGATCGTCTGAGTCGGACCGTGAGAGTCGCTGTGGAATGGGTGTGATGGCTCCACCGCTCAAGAAGGACCGTCTATCCTGGGGCGGTGACGTCTGCAGTCTCCCAGACCAAGTGGCTTTGGCAAGCTTTCCTCTCAACATCAATACGTTCTCCAGGTCTTCGTCCCTCAACTTCCTCATGGCGGCATGAGCTCGCTTTTCTTCGGCGAGCAAGTCCCGTATTTTGATCAGATTGGAGAGATCTTCGTTCCTCAGGGAGAGCAGATCAGCGTGGTTCTTGAGGATGACTTGATTCTCGCGTTCAAGCTCGGTGATGCGAGTTTGGAGATTGTCGTAGTCCTTGGACATGATAGTGGGGTGAGACCGCTCGACGTCGGCAACGCGGACAAGGATGGTGCGCAGAAGCTCGGACATAGGACCGGCTGCCTCCAAGGAAAGGGCCGGATTGCTGACCAGATGCTCTTCTGGCTCGTCGGAGAGCCTTAATCCGGTTACAGTTGGAGTTTTGAGATCCATTTCCCCGGGGTCTACCGTCGAGGCATCCTCAGCAAGCGTGGCGTGCGAGTCATCTGTCACGACAGATTCACTACGCTTTCTTTGCATTTCTAGGTTCTGGTGCACTTGACGGTGCTGTTTCGCTGCGACGAGGAAATGCTCTCGTGAGTTCAAGGTCAGTGTTCGCTTCTTGGGCTGCCAGAGGGGCATGTCCTCCAGGTTGAAAGGTGAGGCTTGCGACTGGAGTTGATGCGGTTGGAGCGAAGAGTCGTGATGCTGCTGCTTCTCGTCTTGGTATGAAGATAGGATGCTGTCATTGTCGTTCTCACTGTAGCTGGTATCCGGACTTGATGTTAGGTGTGACAAGTTCTGGCTCGACGTAGATGTGGCCATGGAAGCTACAGACATGCTGAGAGAATGGCTAGACGGTGTGCGTGTGATGCGACTAGGCGACCACATTATCTCTGGAACATGTGATGGAGAATGCTTGCTGTTCAACGTGTAAACAAGAGGAGCAAGAGAATGGTGCGTCAGTGTGGGATTTGTTCTCGTGCGATGAGGTACTAAGCGCAGAGTAATGGCAAGGCTATGAGCGAGTAGGCAAGAAAAAGGAAGGTGAGGATACAGCAACGGGACTCCGCCACGGTCAAGCGTCCTATCGAGCCTTTTTAAGGTTTCGTGACCATGGCACTCGGTGCTCGTTTGCTAACAGTAGTAGAGACGAGCAAAAGGGGAAAGGGGATTGTGTCTGAAGCAGCGTGAAACGTGCCCCTTACCTCGCTTTGACGAGGCTGTGACCGAGTTGAGACGTGATGCCGTTTCCTGCTCATGCGATAGGACGAGGCTGGCCACCAATGGCCGTGCCCATCACCAGCGCATCACATCCCGCTTTCCCACATGGACTAGCCACTTCAGATAGCGAAGAGAGGCGTTCGTGCTCCTGGAACTCGTTCAGAGTTGTCCGAGAGATATGCGCTGCCATGGACGAGTCACATCCCCTTTTCAATGCAGTGTGATATGAGATTGTCCTCGTTTCCCGTTTCGGCCTTGGAGTTCGTGTCACGCATGATGACGGCCATTGTGCTTGACAGTGTACGAAGGCTTTTGCCAATGCCATGTTCCCTAAGGCTGTTGCGTGTAGTGGTTCAGGGGTCGAAAGCGAAGGCGGACTTTCATAGCGGACATGGTTCTCATTCATGGAGCCCCGGGTGTGAGCTTGGTATAATATCATGGCTCGGTAGTTTTGTCAGAGTTTCTATGTGCTTCATATCTCTATCTAGAAGGACTAGGAATGCAAAGAGAGGAAACGTGTTCTCAGCCTCGTGAAGCCACCATTAAAGCAGCCAGCGCATTCCGCAAATCACAAGGCTGAGAAGCCGGCGAGGGGAGGCAGCCGGGAGCCAAAGAGCCCAGTACACAACACCTAGTACCTTTACTCTACCAACTTGAACTCCACGTTGAAACTGTACCCTCATCGATCTCTCACGCAGCTCACACCCAACATACCCCGGCAGCTACTCCTTTTCGTACCCTAGAAAACCCCGTCAAATAGCTTCTCCGTCGCAGTCTTGCTCATGCCAATGACCTCATCCTGAGCCCTTGAACTTGCGACCGCAACCAGCATCTGACAACCATGGCTCCCTCCCCCACGATCCGCCGCCTCCTCAAAGAGACCGCAGAACTCTCATCTCCTTCTTCGAACCCCAACCCCGCTTTCTTCGCCGCCCCGGTCTCTGATGCCGACTTACACGAGTGGCATTTCACACTGCTGGGTCCTCCATCCCCTTCCCCCTACGCCGGCGGGATGTATCACGGGCGCATCACGCTGCCGGCAACATACCCTTTGAAACCGCCGAATTTCCGATTCCTGACCCCGTCAGGCAGGTTCGAAGTGAACCGCGAGATCTGTCTGAGCATATCCGGGTTTCACGAAGAGACGTGGATGCCCGCCTGGGGGGTCCGGACCGCCTTGACGGCGCTGCGGACGTTCATGGCGGAAAAGGGCTCGGCGGGCCAAGTTGGGGGTCTGGAGGCGCCCGCGGACGTGAGGAAGAGACTTGCGAAGGAGAGTCGAAGTTGGAAATGCGAGGCTTGTAAGAAGACCAACGAGACCATCATGCGCGAGTGGTGGGACGTTTGTCGCGAAGCCGGGGTCAATGTCTCGGCCGAGGAGGATCTGGGGTTGGAGAGTCTGCCGGAAGGCATGTCGCTTGAGGCGCGAGATCCGAGTGCACAGTCTCAGTCTAATGGTGTTTCTTCACACACGACAGGCATGAAAAGTAGAAGCGAAGCTGCCGGTGCACAGGAAGACCCGAAGGTGACAACGACGGTACCACAAGAGCGGCGGCCCCAGCAGCAGCAACCCTCTACACATCCCCATCCCAATGCTAATCCTTCTACACCATCCACATCTGTGCCAGTGCCACCGTCCCAGCAACCTCAACCTCAACCTCAACCTCCCTTGTCATCATCATCACCACCACCATCACACACGCCACGATCGAACTCCTCTAGCCTCACCCAACCCACGCCTCAAAGATGCATCCCGATGGTCCCCACGCCCTCCGCAGAAGCAGCCCAAGCCTCTGCCGAAGCAGTCCTCACGCCAGGCGACTTCGTTCAACCACCACCCAATGGCTCCACAGCAGCTACCACGGGCACTTCTACCACCGCTCGACGACCCTTCTTCTCCGGTCTTCACAGCGCCCCACTCGCCGCCGCAAACGCCGCGATCGCACAGAGCGGCGGCCCGCAGCCATTGACTCTCCAGCGCGACCGTGACCGCGGACGAGAAACCCAGCAGACCATCACAATCGACCGGGCCATCGCTGGCGTGTTTCTTGCCCTGTGTCTGATGGTGCTCAAGAAGATCTTCTACCCGGCTGGAGGGGCCGGGGCGAGGTATAGTGGTATGGACGAATTTTATTTGCAGCGAGAGTAGCATATGCGACAAGATCGTCGTTTGCAGCTTGCTATTGGAGACCATGACTTGGATGCCACGCTTGGTACTACCGGCATGGGGATATCTATATGTTGGGATTCTGCTTGGCTTGGTTTGGTTTGGGTTGGGGAATCGGGCTATGATCACGACAGGATGGGCTGGAATGGTATGGTGTGGTATGTACCTACCTAGGTAGGTACCTAGGTATGTTATGGAAGCTCCGAAGACCGGGCGGGTTTATAAAGAGCAAGAGGGAGCTTGCCTTTTTGGACAGATGCATCTCCCAAGGCGTTTTGTCTTTCGACTTGAGCGAGCGTACATGCGCGCAAGCGTACAAGCGAGCGGTCAAGTAGAATCTCCAAATCCATAGAGTCCGCAGAGAGGTAAGCATGAGTCCTACACGAGCCTTCGGCTCATTACCTACCCACATACCTATGATATATATATATATATACATATATATACATATGAGGCAGTACCAGTGTCATCTTCTCCGCCTCCACCATTGTGCCAGCACTGCCCTCATAGATATATATACAAGCACGACGATTGACTACCAGAGGATACATATCTATTTGTTATGAAATGGAAGTTGCCTTATCTCTGGCAGTAACGGTGGGTTCCCGCTGTCTCCATCTTCTCCAGGATGGCTTGATCGGAACGACGGCAACTGGGTCATTGATGGAGCAGCGGTTGATACTGCTATCATTGCGGCGGTGTCCGTTTCTCCTGGGCGTCAGACTGCTCCTTTACGGTATTTCTCTTTGCGGTCGGGTCACCCTATATGTATGTTTACACCCCATAAAAGGCTCCGGGTAAGTGTGCTCGATACCTGCAAACCTTGCCTCGCAACAATCCGGCACAGCTATCCATCTGACTCCTTTCCCTCCCCATTGAGTGTTGGTCACAAGGGCGGATGCACGGAAAAGATCAGAATGCACAAATATCCCACGCAAGCTGACCACTCAGACCTTGCACACTCTTCTTTTGGATCAAAAAGGAACGAGGAGATGAACCAATCATGCCCCCTTGATGGGCCTTGATGCCCCCAAGTTTCGCCTCACTCCGTCTGCAACCCATTTTCCTGCCTAAACCTCAACAAGCATGTCGATGCGTTGGACCCCGTGACCCTTCCCTCTTGGATCCCTCTCGCTCATGTCCTTTGTCCTCCACTCACTCGTTACAGGGTGGAGCGGATACAAAGCACCGTGCAGAGCGTGGCAGCCGAAAGAAGAGAGAACCCGGACAGGCACAGCTGCTGATGTGAAGCCGCTGGCTGCAATCCATTATCCAGCAAGCAATAGCGTGGGGAGAGGCCATTGCCGTGGTTTCCAGCAATCCGACGAGCCCGTGGGAGCTGACTGAATTACGTCGTCTTCAACTATCTCGTCCCACGAATACTTATCCGCAACTCGTCCTACCCTGGCGATTGGCTTCTCACCACATCCTTTCCGCCAAGTGGCACCCAGGAACCTTGCCTTGCGTCTCCAATCGTTGACAGGTTGATAAACTCCCGCCCGCCTCCCAAGGGGACGTCTCCGCCCTTCTTCTGTTCTGCTCCCAGCTTCGAGGCCTCGTACAAGATCACTGAAGTGTCGACTTTCGACATAGCAGCTGCCTGTCGTGACCTTGACGCTTCACAACCGTTAGCACAGCTCCCTCGTTCGATCCTCACTTCGGCCCTCGACCCGTCGTGCCACACGCAGCAAACGCTTCGTGCAACCCGCGAGATCAAACAGAACTATCTATACTGCTCTTCTAGCCCTTCGTCTCTGCCTTTCTCCTGCAAAGCTTAACCCTCAGACGTATCATACGCTGATGTCGGTTGATATACGCTCATCTTGCCCTAGCCTCCGCTTCCCATTTAGAAGCGACACTGTCTCTACTGCTCAGCTCTGTTCCGAGCATACGGGCCATATTACAAGACCCATTGATCGAGGTTGATCAAAGAGTAGGTTGACCGACCATATTTGACCTTTCGACTAAAGTAAACGAAAGGACCAAAAAGGAGAGAGTCAAAATCTAGAAGCTGCTAAATCCAAATCCTTTCAGTATGGCTCTTCCTAGTGCTGCCGTTCCCATGCTGGACGCTGCAATCGTCCACGAGAAACCAAGTCCGACCGCTGCTGCAAAGGTCTCCCTGACCGCCCCGAACAAGGACCAAGTCCGCGTCGTCGCCCCGCACGAGTACAAACAGGCCGCGGCATGCTTGGCTGAGGCGTTTCGACTCGACAACATCGTCCGCTATGCCATCGACACGCCGGACCGCATGCATATGACGGAAGAGGAGCGCTTCGAATTGCACAAAGCCTCCATGGAGTACGTCACCTATGCTCATTGTCTCCAGGGATTGGTCTTGACGGTTGGTGAGAACTTTGATTGCGTTGCTTTGTGGCTGCCCCCAGGCAAAAACATCGACGACTGGTTCACCATCCTTCGCAGCGGCATGTGGCGATTGAGCTGGAAGCTGTCCAAGGAAGGCAAGGTGCGGTTCTTCGATGAGTTCTTGCCCCTGTTGCATCATACCAAGCAGGAAATCTTGGGAGAGAGGGACAACAACTCCTGGTATCTGAACTATATCGGAACCAAGCCGGCGGCACGCGGCCGTGGTTATGCCCGAAAGCTGATTGAACACGTCACTAAGATGGTACTGGCTGCTCTTGGACAGATTGATTTCCTGGTTGACAAGCTGACTGGAACAGGCCGATACCGAGGGGCTGCCCTGCTACCTGGAGAGCTCGCACGATATCAACATCATCATCTATGGCAAGTTGGGTTTTGAGCTGCGCAAGCACATCTACCTGCAACGCGCTGCGGGGAAGGAGCTGAGGATGGATGTCATGGTTAGGGAGCCGGTTGATCCGGAGAAGAAGTAGAAACATGCAAATCCCGGACCAGTGAAGTCGGGCTGAAGCTGGATGGGGTGTTGAGTGCAAAGAGAAATGAGGCCCCTATTTAGGGGCTGGTGAAGCAGACGAGACGGGACACAAGGGGAACCATTATGGAATATCCAACTATTACCACACTCGTTTAGCCACAGAAATGCAACATCTGCATTCTCACGTACATCCTTGACTGCTTACACTATTTTGTGAACACCCAAGATGAAACAGGAGAGGCGAGAAGGGGGCGAGGCTGACGGCGGTGGTCGTGGAGGCTGCAGCCTTGCATACCCACAAAGCGCAAGGCTGAGCCAGAGCCTTGCGACCACGTCACTCGGCCACCAGAAATCCAACTGCGCCGTTTCAACTCGTTCTCCTTGTCAACACCCAGCACCTCGTACACGTTAGACGCATCACATACACATTATACACAGAGTGCCCCAATCCATTCTTTACCTTTCTGCATTCAGGAGCCTGCGTCCTTGGATAAAGACTTTCCTACCGCACTCTCTCGCGCAACCATGCTGTCGACCACGGCTTCGAGATGATCACCCGTCATCGACACTGCAATCGACCGCCTGAGTGATTGCACGGCGACGACTCGTTCAACCAGCGTCCATATAGATCTCTTTTGTCTCGGATTTTCCCATGCCCAGCTACTCAAGTCCTTCCTCCTCACCTCCCCCAACTCCTTCGCGCCGCCGATTACGATCATGCGCCCGGTCATGCGAGCGTGCCTGCTGCGCCATAGCCACCTTTTTCCCTCTCGCTTTCGTGTATAGTATAACAACATGGGCGGTATGGGTGGTGGCGTCGATCGGCTTCGGATCTCACAGATCAAAACACGTGTGGTGGTTGGTACAAGCCATGTCGTTTTTGGGAATCACCCTCTACATACTGGCGAACTGGTCATACACGGTCGCCGCCTTTACGGATCCCGGCTCGCCCTTGAAATCTCCTTCTAAATCATCGGATAGGAGCCAGGGGAGATACTCGATGCTTCCTACTCACGAACCTGTGGCCGACGTGAGCCAGATCCAGAGCATTACCGTCTCCTCGACCGGAGCACCCAGATTCTGCAAAAAGTGTCATACTCCAAAGCCTGATCGGACACATCATTGCTCTACTTGCAAAAGGTGCGTCTTGAAGATGGACCACCATTGCCCTTGGCTGTCCACCTGCCTGGGCTTGCACAACTATAAAGCATTTGTACTCTTTCTCATCTACACGTCTCTGTTCTGCTGGGTCTGCTTTCTCAATGCAGCATGGTGGATGTGGAAGGAACTTTTCGAGCAAAGCGGCTATCTCGACGAAGTGGCACCTATCAACATCATCCTCCTTTCCGTCATCGCTGGAATCATCGGTTTGGTACTGAGTGCGTTCACTGGGTGGCATATATATCTCTGCACCAAGGGGCAAACTACCATCGAGAGACTCGAGAAGACGAGATACCTTAGTGGTGTCAGGACTCTCGTGGAACGAAATCGCCAGGAGCAGCAACTGAACCACAGCAGACACAGCTCTGAAGGTGTTGCGGGCAGGTTGCAGCGGGCTGGGGAGCAGTTTCTCGAGTGGAATGCCAATGCTGTACCTGGGGCCTCACGGTACGAGGAAGGTGAAGAACACACGTCGCCCGTCCCGAGTGTCTATAACACGACAAACCGTGAGATGCCATATTCTCAAGGTCCAGACCACAGCCACAACGATGCTTTCAACAACACCCCAGCCGTTCGTGCGTTGCGAAATACTTACTCTCACATGGAGGCCGCTCGCGAGCGTGAGAGATATGCTCAATACCTAGATGACCAAGAGTCCGAGAAAATGCCCAACGCATTCGATCTGGGCTGGCGCCGGAATCTTAGCCACTTATTTGGACCAAATCGATTCCTCTGGCCTTTACCGATTTGTAATACCACGGGTGATGGATGGCGGTGGGAAGTCAGCCCGAAATGGCTCGCGGCGCAGGAAGAAGCGGTGAAGAGGAAAGAGCAAAGATTAGCGGCGATGATGGATCACGATCATTATGCAGAGCCTTCAAATGGAAGAGGCGATCGTGGCCATGGGTATCAAGAGTACGAGAGAGATCGAGACCGCGATTACACCATCAACTTTGACGAGCGCCACGAGACCACTGTCCCACGGAATGGGGATGAGGATCTGTACTCACGCAGTGCCATGTCCATGAAACATCTGCCACCAAATCAAAACAACGCGCCCTCGCCGGCCGATCAGCGCAAGAGAAGACAAAAGAGAGACTTTGACCAGAACGAGCCGTTCGAGGTCAGCAGTGGCGACGAGGACAGCGACTCGGACATTGGATATGACGTTAGGGACGATCAGGATGATGCGGAGAGAGGCTGGATCAGGAGGAACCGTGCAGGCAGAGTGAAATGACGGGCCTGGGGATTGGATGTAGTGTGGCTATCTATTCAGGCAACCAACCTGATCCAGGCTACGACCAGTCGATCGGGGCTTTTGGATACATACAAATAAACAAACGAGATCCTCACGGCCGCTGGTTATGTATCATACGATTGATCATGGGGCGCATTGCGTTGCAGAACTGCAGGTGGGCTGGACTGGACTGGATTGGCGAGAATCAAAGGTGCTGCTGTGCGCTCAATACAACGGGTTCGATTTTTGAGTAATTAAGATAGGGGAAACGACCTCGAATGTTCTGTTCTTCACAGTTCGGAACCCCTCAACAAGTTCGTATAGGAAGTGGTATATTTATATATATATATATATATGTCCTCCAGTTTCCCTGTTCTTGATCCTTTGTGCATGAACCATGACGGCAAACCAGGTCACATAGTAATATGATTGATGAGAGAGCATACAATGTGAGCCAACGACTGAGCAACCTGGTGGATATTCCGAGGTCCAGACCAACGTTGAGCCAACAGACCACCACCGCTTCATTGCGTCTTGTCCATGGTAGCCGCTCACGTGCCGCTTCACTTGGCCTCGACGTGGATGGCCTCGACATCATGCTTATGGGAGGCCACTCCGACATCCTCGATTCCGCTGAAGTCGGTCATTCCGAACAGCTCATCCATTCGTTCCAAGGAAATCTGGGGCATGTTGTTAGACATCTAGCAGCTGCGAGAAGCACCATTGAGGAAGGTTTCCCACTTACCCCTTTGGTCTCCGGCACCAAGAAATATGCGCCGATGGCGATCGTGAAGCAGAAGCACCCGTATATAAAGTATGTGCCGTATCCGCCTGCACCCACGGTGTCCAACATCACGGGGGTGGCTCGAGCAACAGCTAGGTTGAACACCCATTGTGTTGCCGCAGCATACGACACGATCAATCCTCGGAGCCGCTGAGTGCTGATTTCAGACGAATAGATCCCTGCGAAGGAAGGAAGTTGAGCATCAACCCAGCATATGTACGCGAGGCAAAAGACTTACAGCAAACGGGACCCCAGCCAAATTGGAAGGCTGCCGCATAGAGGTAGACCATGACCAACGCAGCATATCCCGCACCAGAGATAGGAGCACCTTTCTTGGGGGCGTCAAATCGGACGAAGAAGCCCAGATAGAACATGCAGAACCACATGAAGAGCCCCGTCCAGACCAGTGACCATCTGCGCCCGAGGGTGTCGGCAAGAAACGTAATGAAGATGGCGCAGGAGCTCATTTTGACTATGCCATAGACCCCAGTAGCGAACAGGCTCTGTGTGTTGCCGGTGACGCCGAGATCGGTGAAGATGGTCGGCGCGTAGTAGTTCTGCAATCGTGTTAGCTGGGCCACCCCAACTTCGACAGCGTAAAAAACTTACGATGGCATTAGTTCCAGTCCATTGTTGAGCGGTCATAAGGGCGATCGCCATGATCGCGCGTCTGCGGTTTCCGGGAATCGTCCACGCCTCCTTTGTCAACGCCCAGTAACTGTTGCCTCCGGCACGGCCCCTCTCGGCCTCCAGCTGAGTCTGCATTTCGAGAAGTTCGGCTTGGACGTATGGGTGCGTGGCCGGTAGATTTCGAACTGTGGAAAGAACTCTGGAGGCCTCGTCCCAGTGGTCTTGGGAAGCAAGCCACCGAGGACTCTCGGGACAGAAGATAATGCAAACAAAGAGGAGGAACGGAGGCAGGGACTGCATCGACAGTGGGACTATCCATGTGGCATGACCTTTCAAGTGGAGGAGGCTGCCGTAGTTGATGAAGAAGGCCACCATGGCACCCATTGTTTCGAAAAGTTGATAGAATCCCACAAGCAGACCTCGAATACCACGAGGAGCATTCTCAGCGACGTACGTCGGGGCACACATAGTCGCTCCCCCAAGGCCCAGTCCTTCAACAAAGCTGATATTGTCAGTTTAAAGCCCCTACCGATGCCTCTTATGGCAAACGTACCGTCCGATATAGAAGCAAGTTAGATGGCCATATGACAGAGCCTGAAGAAGGCCACCGACGAAAGCGAACGACGCAACGGTATAAATGGTAATCTTCCGACCCCATCTGTCGGCCAATGGATTGGCGGCGAGCGCTCCAACAATGGCGCCTGCCTGCATGACTGATACCAAGTTCGCTGAGAGGTTGGACTGGGCGATCTTCGACTTGTTGGAGAGTCCGAATTCACTTGGAGCCGGTTAGCTGCTGTCATAGCAAGTCGTAGGCTGGATAGGGCCGTACTCTTTGAAGTCGGGCAGCGTCAACACCCCGCCGATGATACCAATATCCATGCCAAAGAGCGTGCCTCCAAAACAGGCCTGTTTGGTCTCAGTACAGATCTTTTCGCTGCTCGCGGGTGTGAGGACTTACGGCTGCTGCCAAAGCGAAGACTCTCCAGTTGTAGACCTCTGGAGGGTCCAACTTGACCGCATCATTGTGCACGATCTTTCTGAGGAATGACATATTGGGCACGGACGGTGAGCAATCTGAAGGGTCCAGGTAGTTGAGCAGTCGAGGCTGGAGGGGCAGGACGAGCGAGGTGGTGAGGCGGGCAGGGTATTTTATGCAGCCATTGATCGGCCTTCTCAAGCTACCACATGTTGGACAAGGATTCTCTCGAAGCGAAGGGACAATGTCGATTCACTGCCATGTCAGCGGACCTCCATCTCTCCTGTCACCCACCTGTGGAGAGAATTGGAAATCCCATAGAACATGGGGCAGAAACAATGGACTTTGCTCCGAACGTGCCCAGATGGGACTGTTAGAGGCCGGATATTTGCCAGATGTCGAATAGTTCAGCCGTTGGTACACCACTTAGTCGCAAGCACCAGTCTCCATGAAGACAAGATGTGCAAGCATCGACAAGCATTGGACATAGGATGGGAGGGTGCCGGCCCTGTTGTAACGTTCCGTCGCCACTCTGGCTGAGCGGTCGCTGTCGAGCGTGTCTTGGTGTCATTGACCTGCGGGGATAAGCTGAACTCGTCTCCAAAGAGTGGTCGGCGTTTTCAGCCTGAAATCAGGCTTGGTGTACGAGTAGATGGGGAAAGCCGGGGAGCTGGGGGTGAGCTGGGGGAGCTGGCACCCTTCACCAGGCTCAACCAGATGCGATGGGGAAAGATGCTGAGCTCGAGGTTGACTCTCCACCTGGGGTACGGGACGACGGCAATCCATCCGCAAATCATGGATAAATTGATAGATAAATAACCGTGGCTGGGGTGAAGGACAAGGGAGGGTCCTCGTATTGCCCATCAACTCCACCAGGCTTCGGTCCAATCTTCCACCGAGTATCGTCCAACCTGTCTGGTGACAGAGTCCTTACCTTTCATTTAGCGGTGGGAGGGCAGCTGTCAGCCTGTCAGAGATGTGGCAGACACTGCCATTGTGGCGTGTTGTAGAACAGAGCAATATTCATACGGTTGAGCAAGTCGGCTGGTAACAAGCAGCCTGGCGAGGACGGCCTCCAGCAGTCGACAAGCCCAACATCGTCCGCTGCGCGTCTTGTCGTGCTCTCTGCTACAAAAGCTCCCGAGATGAGGTATCCTAGACCATCCTCTTTCTCAGCCAGTCTGGGATTTGTGGTCGCCGCACCCAACTCTGTTGCCATTTTTTTCGATAGTCGGCAACACTTGAGGGCATAGCAAACACTCCAGCTGCTACCCAAACATCCGCGTTGGCCGGTATATCCATCGCCAGGCTGGGCAGGACTGAGCGGCTTTCCATCAGGTTACTGTTCGCATCTTCGTCCAGTACGCAGCCTGCACGACCTTCGCGTTGGTGCAGCTCAACAATACCAACGACTCCCCCCCGCGTCGCAACCACCGCCTCGCCGTTATCAGCCTGTCTTCCTTCATATTTGTCTGCGTCCATCTGCTGTAACTCGCGCTCGTCTTTCTGCGAGACGCCGTTCAGGGCAAAGGCGCCTTCGCTTGTCTTCAAAGCCCTGCTGCCTGTCGTGATATGGTGTACTCGGAGATGCCAATTTGGTGCGGCGTCGGTAGGAGGAAGCAAATAAGTCTCGACATTAGTATCTGCCCACGGTTTCCAATCAGAAATCAACAGCGGGGTGTCGTCGATGGTCTCCAGCCTTGCATTGAGTGGCTTCCTCCGCACCTTCCAAGTCTCACCGTGATCATCGGAGACCGCAAGGACGTTATCGCCCCCTATAGCTTCCACAAAGTAGCCGCCGGTGGGCACAGAATACCCAAATGCCGTACTGTATGCAAACTTGCCATATTTGCTTTCCGCAGCTCTCATTGGGTAGTGGCACATCTGTCCCGAAGACACGAGAAAAGTATGCCCTCCTTTTGCCACCATGATGTGTTTGGGGTGCTTCAGTGCCAGGACCGGCGGTATTGAACTGGAGGGATATGGTTCCTCTTGACACCGCCAAAATTCATGAGACTCTGGTAAGGCCAACGCTGCAAACGAGAGCATGAACCAGTAGGTCGAGCCGGGCGAGTTATAGTTCTCGGATATGAATTGGTTGGGATACCCGTAGCCGATGGTCAATATCCCGGCTCCATTGAGGATGTCTTTTTGCTGGGCCCAGTACCGTAGATTCCGCAGGAGAATGCCTTTGACCACTCCCCAGCTTAGAGGTGGCTCGAGGTCTAGGTCTGCAAAAGCCACTGCGGCCCAAAAGCCGGCCATTGCAAAGCGATAGGTGAGCGATCGACCAAAGGTCATTGCTCGGCCTGGAACAGTCAGGAACAGAGCTGCTTTTGCACCGAGTGTGCTTACCTTGCTCGTCAAAGTAGTGCAGGAAATCCTTCGCGTACATCCTCGCCCGATCCCTATAGACCTCTGCTCTTTTGGGATCCCGATCACCATTTAGTTTTGCGTACAGCAATTGGAGATACTGGATTGCAAACGAGCCCGAGTAGTAGTCCATCTGCAGAGTGTCAGGCGGGCCGTCGTTGCTCCAGCCGCCAGAAAGGTGAAAGGTGTCGAGGTGGTCGAGGTCAGCTTCGAGGCGTTGAGCGTCATACTCTGCTCCATTCTTCATCAATGCCAGGTTGGCAAAGACACGAAACCACAGCCAATTTGTGTTTGGCATCTCTTTCTTGTTGATATCTAGCCACTGTCGAACGTTCTCGCGCTCCCTGTCATTGAGCGGCTTCCAGAAGTGTTCTGGGGCAACGCAGAGAGCAAACCCGAGAGGACACATTTCGACCATTCTTTGATCCAAATCCTTCGACCAACCCCAGAACTCTGGATGATCAGGATTTGTGCCATTCCTTATCCCTTCCAGCCAGAAGTCGGACCCTTCAAACGACTCACCACCAGCGAGCAAGGCTCCAAGACCCCACATTGGTCGTGTAAACCCTTCGAGCTGCGCGCCTGCTTCATCGTAACGGGTTGCCGTAGCTCCAAGTCGCAGCCTCGTCTTGCCGGGCGAAAAGAAAGGCAGCAGAGGGCTCAATAGTGATTTGCACGCTTGCACGACGTCAGATCGTGTCTGGAGAGGGCTATTCAGTGAAGTAAAAAAAGGTAGTGAGGTTCCAGCTGCCATGACTCCGGGTTATGAAGTATGCTTCCAAGGGAACGAGTTCGAAACGAAGTCTATAGATGCCGTCCGCGCGAATATACTGAATATCACAAGCGCCTTGAATCCTTGAGCTAAAACAAAGGCGCGTGGTAGTCTGCGCTTATATTCATTGAACGATAGAGAAAGGCCGAGCATCTCCGTGTAAACAACTTAAGCAAATGACGTCGCAGCAGACTGCTGTCGCGTTCCCTGCCGGCTTCATACCGTTGCGGCCCAGACATTGCGACCTTAGACGCTGGAATTTAGCCGTAGAGCAGAAGATGCATGTTTTCAGTGGATACGTGGGGCGGTGATGGGCTTTTCTGCGATTTGGAGTCAATCGTCCATCTCTCCGAACTCGAAGCAACACTGGCTGTCTCATGTACTCATACATTGATCATGCAAACGACTCGCATTCATGAACTCCTTCGGCTACTACTCATTGACCTAGAACCGCCATATCTCATATCACTGTACAGTACAATGTCGTGCTGGTACCCTTTTCCGCGTCGCCGCATGCCGATCAATCTAGAACCCAGGGAATCTCCAGCTCTTCTCCGTTTCACCCGTCCAGAACTGCCCAGGTATTATCATCGACGGTCGTGAAAATCTTGCCGGCAGCCACAAGTTCTTCGGCGCCCTTGTACACATCACTCGTTGACAGGCCCATGGCAGAAGCAATCATCTGCACATGCAAACCCTCATTGCTCTGCGGCGTGTTTTTGAGCGTTACAAAAATCTTCCGTGCCAGTGGTGAGCACTGAGCCAGTTGCCCATCTGCTGCAAATTCCTGACGCGTTCCGTTCCCCATCAATCCATTGGCTGCGCCGTTTCTCTGCTGTCCGTTCGACTGCGCGTTCGGAGGCGGTCCTCTGGCGAAGAACAGGTGTACAGCCGTTGCTTCGAGCAAGTGGTAGTTGATCTCGTTGTAATCCACAATAGGCCGAATAATATGTGCGCCAACATGTCTCTTGTTGTTGAATGCCTTTAATCTCCCCCATACCCGACAATAGCCATCTTCCACCAACTTCGGTTTGTTTGAGTCAACATCCATCTTCTCTGCGTTGTTTGACTCTCCGTCGATCCATTGCTTCGCCTCAATGAGGCCCGTCCCGTCGTCGATTTTGTAGGTGATGTTTGTCGGTTGGGTGCTTATACTGCGGATCTGGCCAACAAATGTGACCTGCATAGATTATCATCAGCCTCAGCCTCTCATCATTCCTCTAATATCGTATTACCTGGCTAAATGGCTCTCCGTCACTCCGGAAATCTGCATCTGGGTGGGGTTGTTCTGCATCGAGAATTTGTTTGATGGTCATCGGCCGGACAGTGTCTTTTCCATAACCTCCCTGAGGAAAGCGGTTAATCATAGATATTGAGTCCGGAGTCAGGGCCAAGGGCTTACTCTTCCAGCAGCAGGACTACTCTGCGGCTCTCCCGCCACGAAGCCGCCACCGTCTGCGGCACCATGAGCGCCGTAGGAGGTTGTATACTGATTGTCATAGCCGTAATCTGCGAGCGTCAGAGGAATTTTCCACTCATCAGAGCCTGGTTACATACTCATTGTGATCGCTTTCGGTGGTACTCAAGTGCTGAGATGTAGTGGGATGAGATGCTTGGGAAATGAACCGATTCCAAACACCAACGCGTTCTAAACGCGTAGAGTGATTTTCGCTGCAGCCGGACTTATAGTCAACCGTAATCGCCCCTCTAGGGACGAACATAGAAACCCAAGACGCATAAAGTAAATTTATTGATTTTGGAGATTCCACCAAGCGCAGGCAAATTCACACCGTGTCTGACGAACGGTGCCAACAGAGATGGCGCATACTGTGAGGGAGATTCCTATATGATGCTAACTGCCGCCCAAGACGGCTCGGACCCCAGGATGCCTCCCAGATCGGGCTCACCTGCCCATTCAGAGAACGAATTTGACATCGGCAGCGCACTTTTCGGAGATGATTTTGAAACCAAGCAAAGCGCCGATGTACGAAATGGGGGTCTACACAGGAACGACCTGGATGTCATGGCTGAAGACTCCGAGGTCGATGAAGAGGCTATCATCGCCGCTCAACAAGCCGCATCGAATCGCAAAGGTGCCAACCTGAAAGGGCGTACCGTGAAAAAAGGTGGTGGCTTTCAAGCCATGGGTCTCAATGCCAATTTGCTGAAAGCTATAACGAGGAAGGGATTCTCTGTACCTACACCCATTCAGCGCAAGACAATACCCCTCCTACTCGGCGAAAAAGACGTGGTGGGTATGGCGAGGACCGGATCTGGCAAGACCGCTGCCTTTGTCATTCCCATGATAGAGAAGCTCAAGGTACATAGCACAAAAGTCGGAGCCAGAGCGCTGATTCTGGCGCCCTCGAGGGAGTTGGCTCTGCAGACATTACAAGTGGTTAAGGAGCTAGGCAGGGGCACGGATCTCCGGTCGATCCTCCTCGTGGGAGGTGACAGCCTGGAGGACCAGTTCTCTGCCATGTCAAACAACCCAGATATCATCATTGCCACCCCGGGCAGGTTCCTCCATCTCAAGGTCGAAATGAATCTGGATCTCCTGAGTATCAGATATGTCGTCTTTGACGAGGCTGATAGACTCTTCGAAATGGGCTTTGCAGCCCAACTAACAGAGATTCTTCACGCCTTACCTGCATCACGACAAACCCTGCTGTTTTCTGCTACGCTGCCAAAGTCACTGGTCGAGTTCGCGAGAGCAGGGCTACAGGAACCGATGTTGGTCAGGCTCGATGCAGACAGCAAGATATCTCCGGATCTACAAAGCACCTTCTTCACGTTGAAGTCATCTGAGAAAGAAGGGGCATTACTTCATATCCTCCAAGACATCATCAAAATGCCAACCAGGTCCCAATTGATCACGTCAACCACGAGTTCTGCGACAACAGACAAGGCAAACAGCAAGAAGAGGAAACGGCAGGAAACGGAAGAAAACACCGGCAATTCATTCGGTCCCAACCCATTCTCAACTATAGTCTTCACTGCCACGAAGCACCACGTTGAATACATAGCAAGTCTACTCCGTCTGGCCGGCTACGCTGTCTCCTACGTCTATGGCTCGCTCGACCAAACTGCCAGAAAATCTCAAGTCCAGGCTTTTCGGACCGGTCAGACAAACATCCTTGTCGTCACAGATGTCGCAGCCCGGGGGATCGATATTCCGGTGCTTGCAAATGTAATCAACTACGATTTCCCCTCGCAGCCAAAGATATTTGTCCATCGTGTGGGACGGACTGCCCGAGCGGGTCAGAGGGGCTGGAGTTATAGTCTTGTCAGAGACGCTGATGCGCCATATCTACTCGATCTGCAACTTTTCCTCGGTCGGAAATTGGTCCTAGGTCGAGCACCAAACAGCGACCTGGTCAACTTCGCACAAGATGTCGTGGTGGGTAGTTTTCGACGGGAAGCAATCCAGACGAGCTGCGAATGGGTTACAAAATCACTTGAAAGCGATTCCGATCTTTCGGCTCTCCGAAATGTGGCGTCAAAAGGCGAGAAACTATATCAGCGAACAAGGAACTCGGCCTCCTCGGAGAGTGCGAAGAGATCAAAACAACTTGTATCGTCCCCAACTTGGTTAGAATTGCACGCTTTGTTCAATGATGAGACAGATGACATGGAAGTTGAGAGAGAAAAAATGCTTGCACGAGTGGGAGGGTTCCGACCACAAGAATCTATTTTTGAAATTGGAGCCCGGCGTGGCGGGCGAAAGAACAACGAGGATGCGGTGGATGCGATACGCAAGATCCGGTTTGGTTTTGAGAGTAGGAAACAGAAAAGCGCAGATGCCTCCCAAGCGCTGAGAGAAGCTGGTGATGACGATGCCGTTGCCCAACCCTACAGCCCAGAAGAAGACGAGGCTGAACCAGGTTCCATTGATGGCAACAACGATATCGATGCTATGTCCGAGGCCTCTTTAAGTGATCTGGAAATCACTTTTTCTCAACCATACTCTAAGAAATCTCAAACACCAAAGTCATCAAAGCCCGGATTGCGCAGCGCCGAGGGGGACTTTCGCGACCCCGAGAACTTCATGTCTTACCACCCCACTGCTCATGATCTTACTTCCGACCGCGCCTACGGCGTCCACTCCGGCTCCAACACCAATGCGAGCTCCAGCTTTGTGGAATCTGCACGTACGGCGACGATGGATCTCGGTGCGGATGAATCGTCCAAGACCTTTGGCGAGAACAGAGCGATCATGCGATGGGACAAGAGGCATAAAAAGTACGTGAGACGCGACAATGACGAGGATGGATCCAAGACAGGCAAGAGGCTTGTCAGGGGAGAATCTGGGGCGAAAATTGCCGCGAGTTTTAGAAGCGGGCGTTTTGAACGATGGATGAAGGCCAACCGAGTGAACAGGCCTGGCAGAGTAGGGGAGGAGGAGAAATCAACCTCGGGCGTGAACGCGAATGGACTGGGTGTTGCCGGTGGTGGAAAGGGAAAGAAATTCCAGCATAAATCGCAGAGGACACCGAAACAGCCGGATAAATTGAGAGGGGACTATGAGAAACAAGTGAAAAAGGTCAAGGGTGCGAAGGAGAGAGAAGAACAAGCGGGCGGTAAGAATGCCAAAGGAGGGGAGCTTAGAAACGTCGATCGCATGGTCAAAGAGAGGCGATTGAAGGAGAAAAGGAGAGAGAAGAATGCACGGCCACGACGAAGAAAGGCATAGGCAAGATCTGCTATAGATGTGCAACAGCCGATCCTCCACACCATCAAGAATGCTGCAATGATGCAAACTCTCTAGATTTCTCTGCCCCTGCTTGAAACATCAATGGCACAGAAGTGGTGATTGACATCCGAGACTGGCGGGTAATGGTTTCTAACCGTGACATCTGTGCCGCAATAAGTAGAGGATGTATGTACATACCTAAGTAGGTACCTACCAGGTTAGCATATTTAATATCTACCTGGGTAGGCAAGGCAAGAGTCGACGAGGCTGTGTTTCCAAGAGAATAGGGGGCCCAAGGCTGCTGACTTGCATGCCGTATCTCTTGGCAGTAGGAAGCGAAGAGGCCCGTCCACCTCTTCAGACCCTCGCCATTCCACACTGTCTGCGTGCCCTGTAAGTACAACAACCCACGATAGACCTGTCAGGGGTCACCTAGGTGATATCGCTCAGCCAGATCTCTGCCCAAGCCAGCTGAACCACTTAAAGAAAAAACACCCTCTGAGGACAATCAAGGGCCCGATACAACTTCGCGACTTGGTGAGCAAACCATGCCATCTGGTCCTAGTATTTCCACCACCGCGAATTGAAAGCGGAGAACATACGCAGGAATTACAGAAGTACTCGACTCCCGAATCGGATTGCGCTGGAAGCACGAGGTATACACCCCAAATTGCAAAACTACGCACGTCTCTGAGCGAGCGTGATGAATCGCAAGCAGCGGCGGGCCAAGGAGACGGCGACGGCGACGGCGAGGCCGACCACGATCAACAGCGCGGATGACATCCCGCTCGCGAGACCGGATAGGGGTACTACCACGGCGACGACGACAACGGAACAACACGGCCATGATGGCAATGGCAACGGCAGGACCAAGACTAAGACGCTGCTCGAAATCGCGGCGGAGAGACAGGCTCAATTGTCGGGCGCTGGCGCGAAGGGCATTGACGCCCGTGCCATCCAGCCGGAGAACATTGTGCAGGTGAAAATCGGGAAGCGGGGAGAAATCATCCCAGAATCGAACTCGTCGGTGCTATCGTCGTCAGCACAACCACAGGAGCCCGAGGAGGAGTATCCCTGGCTCGACACGCTGCTGCTTGCGTCGTCGCTCAGCGCCGTGCACTTCACCCTCTCCGTGCTGGCCATGCACCAGTACGCCGAAGAGGTGCGCTTCCGACCGTTGATCGTGCAGACCGTCTTGGTCGCCTTTCCCACGCTCTCCATCTTCATCGCCCTCTTTCACGGACACCTCTTTCCCCCGTCGCTCGCCAACATTCCCGCCTCGGTGAAATACTGGATTGTTCTTCTCCGGTCCATCATCTACGTGGTCACAGCGAACGTGGCCGGGTGTTACTTGATCCAGCTGACCAATGATAAAGGGTACTACGCGGTCATGAAGGACGCGCCGGGAGTCGGCACCATCTGGGTCTGGGCGGTTCTGGAGATGGGATTGCTGGGGGCACTGGCTGGAGTGGCAGGGCCGGGAATTTATGCTTGGTGGTTTGGATACGGAATTTGGTGATGATCTACCCGGAAGAGACCTGGTCAACATCAGACGCCAATTTGGCTACGAGACTACTCGAAAGGGATTGTCACATTTGACAGAACATGTCCGGTTCGATGGCCCGGAGATGGCGGAGAAGCTGAAAAATGTTACCCTCTCCGTGTGACCAACACATGTGTCACAAGTCCCTTGGCCTCGCTAGCCTGGTGGTACAAGGACAAAGGCCTGCTGCAGACGCCCGTCTCGAAACGTGCTCAAGGTAGCGCAGAAAAGGTCCGGTCGCGCGCCAGAGTCCTTCTAGAACCCACCTTGCTGTTGGAGCGGAAAGCACGACATAGTCCGCAATTATTGACAGAATGGACGACCTGCTGCTACCACAATTTCTCGCCGAATCCGCGTCTGGACTTCGGGCCGCTCTCGTGCCCATTTTCTCAGGGCTGACTGGTGTCGGAGAAGCCCGACGGTACTGCTTGGAGCGACATGTTGAAAATTTCGGTGGTACGAACAAAATAAATCGGAGAGCCACGAGCCAAATAAAGCATTGGCATTGGATTTTCTGGTGGATTCCATCGAGTAATAATGGAGTAATAACAGCGAAGGACAAGTAAAGTGAGATCCAACGGAAGACCTTCTCCGTCGACACATGGGAAAAAATTTTTTTTTTTGTAGCAAGGCGCGGCGACGCGCTCACGGGCCAAGATGGCACCACGGTCTGAGTCAGTTGCGGGAATGTCACCGTAGCGTGTCTGCGTGTTTGGCTTTCTGTTTAATGGCTAGCTAGCCATGGCAACACGAACTTGTCCAGGTCCTTTCTCTCTGCCAAAGGCTCTCGAAAGGGCCGCGTTATCCGCGCACGCTGGGCGATATTTGAGAATCGAAGCTCTGTGACCAGGATGAGGAGGGGCATGATGTTCAGCCATCGATCAGGTTTTCATTCAAGTTTGCGGGGTACAGTAAGTGTGGCGTTTTCCGGTGGCCATTATTGGATCCTTGGTAGCCCGGGTACTGAAGAAAGCGATTTGGCTGAGCGATGGCGGTGGCCAGGGGAAGCAGGGATTCGTCGGCGACACGTCGTACGATGGCTTGCGGCGGTACCTAGACCGTAGAGAGTAGTCAGCTGCCCCGAGGATCACAAGCACCCACAAGCACCCACAAGGATGGCAGCAGATGGAGATGAGACTGACCCAATCGGCGATGGGAGTGATCCAAGTCGGTTCATTTCTGCGCGGAACAAGTCTCCTAGAGAGTCCAGGAGAGGAGGTGGTGGTTGTTGGCCGCGTTGTCGGTGATGTCAGCTTTGGCTCATCCATGATCAAATTCCAAGGGCACCAGCCTGGGGTGGAATGGTGCCATGGTGCCATAGTGCCATAGTGCAATGGTGCAGTACTCGTAATGGTGAAATGATCCAGGTGGTGGAACACTGTCGTACCAACCTTGGGAGCAGTGGCCTTAGTGGCATGAGAAAAACGAGGACAGCACATGGCGAGATGGAAGTTGAGGAACTGACTTTGCCCTGATCGAGTTTCCATTATTCATAGTGCTGCTCCCTCCTACTGCTTTGGTCACCGACCGCCCAACGCGGCTGAACATACAAAGACGGGCGCATATGGCTCATGACCTGATGTAAAAAAAACTTTCTCCCAGTCAGTCTTTCATTCAGTCTTTGGCAATTTCTTTCGCTCTCTCATCCAAGAAAACTTTGTCAGTCCAACATCACCAGATCGAGCCGAAGGTTATCGAAGACTGCACCGAATATTCCAGCGAGCCATCTGCACATCCCCCAGACTTTCAGACTTTTGGCGCGGTCAAGACATTTAGAGGCATCCGGGGTCTCGCCCTCTGACCTCTCAGTTAAAGGCACCCACTGAAATCTGGTCCTTGGCTCCCCAAGTCCCCCCGGAGTCCAGCGAACGAACGCCCCTGCACGGACTACCTCATCGCCCCCACTGCCTGCCCCGATCTCGCCTATTCGCGAGTTGGTGTCGGCTGCGCGCTGCGTCACCCACTTACTCGTACTGTTTTTTTCGATTCTTAGTTCCAGCATCATGCCATCGCGCATTCAAATTCATCACGGCACTTCAACCTCTCCACGACAGACACCCGCTACGACTGTCAACGACGTTGTCAATGCCCTCCACCGCAAATTGACAGCTAACCACTTCGAGATCCCCTCTAACCCTCCTTCAAGAAGACCCTCTTTCTCAATGGATTCCTTACTCCATCCTAAGAAAGACAAGAAACACGATGAAGCCAAAGATCGTGACTCACGCAACCAGAAACGCCTGTCGCTGACCGGTCGCCATGGCAGCAAATCTAAGGACAGAACCTCGGGTCATTCCCCAAGAGTCGTGCCCACACACCCGGGTCGATTTGACATGGTCATAGAGTCTCCTCCTCTAGTACTGTACGGAACCCCGAGCACCTCCTCCGGAGCATTACTCTCGGGTCGCCTGAAGTTACTCGTTGACGATCCGACCCATGAGCTTCGTCTGGATAAGTTTGACATGGTGCTGCGAGCAACCATCACCACCAAGAAGCCTGTCGGGAAAGACTGCAAAGATTGCAGTGAGAGGATCGACGACATCAAGAAGTGGCAGTTCCTCTCCGAACCAAAGTCATTCTACGCAGACGAGGACAACCAGTTCCCCTTCTCCTATCTGTTTCCTGGTAATCTGCCTGCATCCACACAGTCCATGCTGGGCTCGATCCAGTACTCACTCGTGGCAACTGCAACTACTTCTCATGGCGAGAAGATTGTCTTGAACCATCCGCTCACACTTCTACGCGCAATCCAACCCGGCCCTGACAAGTCTAGCATCCGAATCTTTCCGCCGACGAACCTGACTGGCCGTGTTCAGCTACCTCCCATCGTCCACCCCATCGGCGTCTTCCCCGTCACCATGTCGATGAGCGGCGTCGTGGAGAAGAGAGCTGAAAGCCAGATCCGATGGCGGCTGAGGAAGATGGCTTGGCGGATCGAGGAGCACTCCAAGGTCATCTCGACCCCGTGTTCCAAGCACGCTCACAAAGTCAGCGAAGGGAAATCAATTTTGCACTCAGAAACAAGAGTGTTAGGGAGCGATGAGCTGAAAACCGGCTGGAAGACTGACTTTGACACCATCGGAGGAGAAATCACGATGGAGTTCGAAGCGTCTGTGGCAACTAAATCGAGCCACAAGGCCTGTTGTGATGTCGAGTCTAACACAGGAATCGAAGTCAAACACAACTTGGTGATCGAGTTGATTGTCGCCGAAGAGTTCTGCCCGAACAAGAACCCCTCCTTGGTCACTCCCACCGGTGCTGCGCGTGTATTGAGGATGCAGTTCGGCTTGGTCGTCACCGAACGTGCAGGCATGGGCATCAGCTGGGACGAAGAAATGCCGCCGGTCTACGAAGACGTTCCCCCAAGCCCGCCGGGCTATGGCAGCTCGGATAGAAACGATGGAGCCTGGGGCGGCGCAATCATGGAAGACTACCACGGACCAGAGCTCGAGTACGAAGACCTGGAAACGATGCACGGTCACAACCCTCAGGGATCTTCATCGCGGCGTGCTAGTAACACTGGCCTTCCTATGCGACCGCACCATTTGACGAGAGATAGTTCAAGCGGCGAAGGACCATCGAGGAGATTGAGTCCTGCCAGAAGGCCGTTGGCGGGGTTGACCAACGACGAATTGGGTGCGGAACCACCTCAATATGCGCTGAGACCGATGACCGAGTCTCGGGATGATCAGCGAAATGGTCCGGTCGAAGATTACGGCGAAGGGACTTCGTCCAGTGCGCAACGCGGATGAAAAGGTCTCGAAAGGAACTGGAACAGCAGCGAATAGGAGCTCACGCTGCGATCTATCACTATTGATTCACTGGAGTACCACACACTTCCAACTCACGACACGAACTGGAACGAAACGATTACGAACATTTTTGCATTTGATCAGACACAAGTTATGGGAGGCTGCTTGGATTTTGGACCTTTTTTTTTCGACCACAGAAAGCATTCATGATACCCAGCATGGTTACAAGACTGACGGCTGAGCAAATGTTCTTTTCTTTTTTTGATTTGAGGGGACAAGCGGACCCTTGGCATGGAAGGTGCGTATGTGGATTGATCAATGTTTATGGGGACTACCTAGGTAATTAGGTATCACTTCGTGGTTCTCTACTCTTTGTTGTTGTTGTGATGTGGGTTGATGGTAGTTCTTGCAAGCGTCCACAGGTGTTTCGGAGTCATGAATGGAAACGAACAAGGCTGCAGCAAGGACCTACCTAGGTATGTAGTTATCTAGCAGCAGCAGCCACCAACAAGTCCGGCTGGGGACTTCTCGAATGGTCACCCACCTTTTCTTTCCCCCAAACGTGCTTTACATCATGATGAAACTGCAGGTGGTTTTTGAATTGGAGACTGCAGGTGGAGATTGATCTCGCTGCCTACCTAGCTAGGTATATGAATGTGGTGCTATTCTGTCGCCGTCACCGTCACTACCCACTATCACCCGCCGTCAACAAGCCAGGTCGCGAAATCTTCCAAAACTCCCCTTTCAAAAACAGACCACAAGTTTCTTGAACGGCGGTCTTCATCACACCACGGATGAATATCGATATGCACAGGGAATGGTGAGATGGTCCTATGGCTCGCACAGGCGATGGGTCATTCTGAAGATCATGCTCATTCATCCACGTCTCGAGGATCGTGTCTGGACCACCACTCATCATACTCATCCGGCGTCATGGTCTGGAACTCTGTCGGCCTGGTGATCGGCACGAGCGACTCGCCTCTCTTTGCGAAATCCTCGATTCTCTTGCGTGTCTGCTCCCGGCTCTTGTTGACGCTATAAATCTTGACCCGGTGGCACGACGACGTCACGTGCAACCCCCAATTCCACGAGTTGCGCACCTCGAGCGGCTGCGTGTTGAGACTGTTGTCCCAGCAGCGCACGACTATCTCAATCCACCCCTCGACGTCGCAGGGTAGGTCGTACTCCCAGGTCCGCCACGCCCATTTGTGTTTGGTCGACAGGCTCTCGTTGGGCACCGAGTACCACGAGAAGCCGCCATCCGCAGAGAGCTCGACTCGTTCCGGCCAGCGGCCGCCGCCCGAGTAGGCCCAGCCCTTGCACGCGATCTTGCCCTCGTGCACCACGACCTGCTTGGCCCACGGGGTCATGATGGCGCTGGAGACGGGCATCTCTTGGATCTGGATCCCCATCACGGGGAGCTGGTTGTGCTTGCCCACTTGCTGGTTGAAGTACAGGTACTCCTTGCTCTGCACGGGGGCCCGGGTTGGGTGAGGGAGCGCGCGGATGCGGTATACCCATTTCACCGAACGGGCTCCGATGTAGCCCATGACGACCATACGCACAGGATAACCGTGGATCTTGGGCAGAGGCTCACCGTTCATCTCCCAGGCGAGCATAACCTCATTGGCCTTGACCTTAGACCACGGCACGCTGACCAGGTAGTTCATAACCTCGTTCTGCTTGAAGTAGGTGTCCGCCCCGTGGAATTCAAGGTGTTTGCCACCCTCGGCCATGCCGCCACACTGCTTGATGACCTTCTTGAGTGAGACACCCACGTAGCGAGCCGTGCCGATGGCTCCTTCTGCCCAAGGCGCATTAATCATCTCGTCACCTTCACCAGCGTACATGTTAATCTGCTCGATACGGCGCGTACCAGAGCATTGGATCGTCACCAGTTTCTCCATACGCGGGAAGATCTCCTCGTTCTGCAGATCCTTCAGAGTAAAAGTGCGGGGATGTTTGACCAGGCCGTCGAGTTTAAGTTCCCATGCATCCGCATTGATGTCAGGGATTCCACCGTGGTTTCTAATGAAATGCAAGGGATTCGGGGTGATGGGTTTGGCAGTGACCAATCGTTTGGGCGGTTCACCGTTGTACGGGAACTGCAGGAGGTGAAGCATTTCGGGGTGCTTCTCCTGGATGACCCGAAGCCATGATTCTTCGGGGACTGAGGTCAGAGGGCCTCCAATGGCCTTGTGCCACTGTTTCCAGCGGACGCCTTCCAGGACCGGGTTTGTGTCAGGAATAGGACCGAGCTGGAACTCTGGCGGAGGGGGGAATTTGTTGGTGATCATGATTTTGTGTGCGAGGGCCTTTTTCTCCGGATACTGTTCCCATTCGATATACCTGGGCAATTGTCTGTTAGCCAAGGGGTTTTCTAGCAGCAACCAGGACCTAGCTGCTCACCCATGCCATCCTTCGCGTTCCTCGGCGAACACCTTGTTGGGATCAATATCCTCTTTTTCGAGGTACGCGCGAGCCTCCTCGACCTCCCTGATGACATCTTGGTCGAGTGCTATATCTTCGATAAATTGGCCGTCGGGAAGAGTTTGATCGCGGATTGGCAGCTCGGCGGCCGCGAGACCTTGCTCGAGCTTCCACTCATCTTCCGGCTGGAGACAAATCATGGTCAGTTTTTGAAATTTCCTCTTGCGGCTCTAGGAATGGGCAAGTTCAACCTGGAGGGGATGATGGAGCTCTCTTGCCCGGACGTCGTTGTGCATTCTGTAGAAGGGGGACGCTGCGGGTAATTTCTAGATTTCAGACGTCGCCACCAGAGTGGGATGGATGCTGTAATGTCGTGAAAACGGTTGCCCGACCGCGAGACACAGATGTGAAAGAGGGACTGGGAAGCAGGACAGCAGGTAGAACGTTGAGTGGGAAAAAGTGCAAGAGGAAAAACGAGCGGAAGGGCCGGGCAGAACTTATCAGTCGGTCAGGTTGGGACAGCGTGGACCGTGGACGGCGGGCAAGCTGGTCACATTCTCGCTGCTCGGGGCGTTCGTCTCATATATGGCATTCGACAGCGAGGCAGCGAGCCTCAATGAGCTCAGCTCCTACGTATCTACCTAGTAGGTAAGTTTGGTAGGTTGGTAGGTAGCTGGTCTGGTGAAGCTTAGCCATTGGCAGTTCCTTCAACGGGGTCACTTCTGCTACCTCATCCACCTATCAACTCGGCGGATCGAACCTCATTATGTACCTAGCACACCATGACGCTTCCAACATCATAGAGACTGGAGAGGCAGCTTGGATCACTCAGCAGACCATTTGCCGAACACGAGCCCTGGTCCGGACGTGTGTTCCGCAAGAAGGGATCGGCTGGCGGAGCAGTTTCCGAGTCCAGAGATTGAGGACCAAGGACCAAGAGCCAAACGGGAGCAATGACGAGAGGGGGAAACCGGAAGGGCATTATCCACAAACGTGGAAACTGGCGACGAGGGCAAGACTCAGATGGAGAGTAGCGACGCGAGAGCCTGGCATTGGGGACTCGGTCACTCGAGGGACAATTGTATCGTAATTCCCAGATAAAGTCATGGCGCGCGAGAAAGAGAAAGTCGATCGCGCGAGACTCCAACAAGGCTAGTCGCGCACCTAAGCGCCGTCTGACAGGGGAGTTTTCCGAATAGCTCGAGCCTTTATTAGTGGGCGCAGTCTGTAATTTGACCTGCCAGACATGTCAGACTGAACACCATTTGATCACCCTTCGTGCCTTTCCTTCGCGCGAGATCGTTTTCTCGTCCGAGGCTCAACTTTCTTCCCCTGCGGCATTACAACTTCCCGCTTCACAACCTTTAGCCTTCACCTTTATCTCTGATCAACCCCATTCTAACTCCCTCGCACATCGCCATACTCTACCAGGTAAGCGATTGCTCCTCTACAGATTCTCCCCAATGCAATCCCGTGTCCCACGTCCACATGCTTCATCTGTACGCCTCGTATCCCGATCCCAATCAAAAGCGACATCACCTCTTCCCCTGGAGCTGATAGAATGTCTGACTAATCCTGCATGAACTCCCGTTTAGGAAAATCTTCTTTGCTCTGTCGTTGACTGGTCGTCGAATGTCGCCATTTTCGGAGCACCATTACCTGCCTAACAACTATTAGTGCAACCTAAAACGAAACTCTCGCGGCAGTCCGACACCTGCGTTTGACCAAAGAGAAAAGGTGCTGCGCATTAATTACAACCATGTGGCCGCTCTTCCGGGCTGAGGTATCAGCACGGAGTATCAGCAATCATTAAACACAAGGTTGGCCATTGCGGCTAACAGAGAACAAATCCTCAAGGAGAAACAAAAGCTGCTCATAGCTTCTTTGGACTGGCTAAACCTCGATGTAACAAACGCCTTGTTCACCATGCACAACAACCGCCAATAACCCATATGCTACAATGCTCTTTATGTGCTCAAATCAAGCCCAACTTCTTGACAGCCTCCCACGTATCCTCGACCGTCTTCTGGAACGGCGTAATCTCCAATTTCAGCACATGCTCCGCCTTGCTTCGGTCGAGGCTGAAATGCTTGCTCGGATCACAATGCACCCCTTCTTCCCCCAGTCCTTTCTCTCCCTTCGCCCTTAGTCCAGCGAGCCCGTCCTCGAAGGAATCGATTCCGCCGCAGAGCAAGAACCTCTCGCTCACGCCCTTGTCCAACTGCAGACTCCTCAAGTGCGCTTCCGCCACATCTCTTACGTCCACCCACGCTGGCAACCCCGCAGTGGCGACTTTGGGCGCATAGGCTGGGTCCTTGCCCTGAATAGAAGTGATGAGTCTCCTGATACTCGTGTTCAAGCCATCAACCCCTTTCGCAGCGTCCACCTCCTGGATCGGGGGCCCGTAAACCATGGGCGGACAGAATGTAACTAGATCCCAGCTGATCTCGCCCTTGTCCTTTGCGCTTCGCCACATGTCCCACGCCGCGCGCTCAGCAAATGTCTTGGAAGCGTGATAGCCCAAGTATCCATCCTTTGCCGCCTCCTCCATGGTGACCGGATCCCAATCGTCCGAGGTATACTTGTATCCCGGCCGAGGGTTCTTGGAGAGATCCACCACGCTCGCGAACGAGCTCATGATGGTCATTCTCTTCAACGTTTTGGATTTCAATGCCGAAGACACCACATTCCGCGTCCCGTTCACGGCCGGCTCCACCAGCTCCTTGATCGGATCTGTCGAGGAGATGAAATAGGGGCTCGCGACGTGACAGATATAATCTACACCCTCAACAGCCTGGTCCAGCGCGCCGGGGGCTTGGATGTCTGGCACTTCGACGAATGTGAGGTCTCCCGATTTGGTGGCTTCGGGATATTTCTGGGCGACAAAGTTGGCCTTGGAAAGCGACCGCAGGGTGCCTCGGACACGGTAGTTGTGGCTGATGAGCGTCGAGAGGACATGGGCTCCAACGAACCCATTGGGCCCGGTTAGTAGAACAAGAGGCTTGAGGCTCGACATTGTTTTGTGCTATGTATTTCTCCTGAGGGTTTGTGATGTGAACTTGGTTTGTTTGGAAGGTGATTGTTGTTGTTGTTATCGATTTCGATCAACTCGAGAGCGTCACCCAGTCCCTTCTTATACCAGGACAAGAGGTTCGGGACACCCTCATCCTTATAAGATGTGTAAGCAAAAGCTATTATGCGGGTTGCAGGCGATGCGACTGAGCGGCCAATCGAGTCACCTCCAACATCCTGCCGCGTCAACCGCAATACCGGATGTTGAGAAAGCAGCGTGTCCGAATCCTTCCACTGGGTATGCCTTGCCGTTATTCTCTCCCGTTATTCTTTCGCAGTTTGCTGACGAAATGGTTTTGTACCTGCATTAGCCAGGACCATGTCCCACCGGAAGATAACAGTAGAGACACGGATGTTGCTTCCTCCAGAGCTACGTTTCCTCCGTTTCCTACCGATGATGTCATATTTCGCTCTTTCTGCCCGTGTTTTTTCCGTTCTTGTTCCGCTCTTGTCACGTGGTTGTTCTTTCCGTCCACACGTGATCAGACCTCGTCGGCGCTGTGACTGTCAGGGATGCCAAGACTTGTAAAGACTGTCAAGGCCATGACTGACTACCTGGTAGCCGTTTGAGGCCTTTGGCCAAAAGCCTTCGAACGGCCCTGTAAGCCTCGGGTTATAAGTGGACATGGCAGAACATTTCAGTATTGTGTACGTGTGCATGGTTGATATAGCCATCTGCTGAAATCATTCCATCCTTGCGACATAGCAATGATTCAAAGCTCCTCGAGAAGCCCGGTCTCGGTGGTCAGCACAAAGCCTCGAACCTCGACATCTTTGAGCAATCGCTCCGCCTTCAACGTTTGGACGTCGTCCAGAACCGACTTCTTGATGTCTTCTCCCCTGAAACAGCCAAAGTTGATCCCTTCGGCTCCATCAATGCCGCGCTCGAGGATATCCTTCTTGATGCCTTCATCAGTCAGGTGCGTCATCCCGCAATCTAAGCAATGCGCATTTATCAGCTTGTGAAAGACAATAAAAGGCCCACAATCTTCATAAGTACCTGTATGGTGCACGACCATCACCGTCGCCTTTTGGACCTTATAGGCGAGGCTTTGCAAGGTGTTGATCGTACGCACGACGTCGGGAGTGGCACGTCCACCGGCGTTTCGAAACACGGCAATCATCGGATGGGACCCCAAAAACTGTTCAGGCACGACTCGTGGGTCCATGCATGTCACTTTGGAACGGCAAAGATCAATTCAATGTGTTAGCAGCCGAACCATGGGGCCTCCTTTCAGCTTGAGTTGGTTCCCATCAACTTACGGCAAATGACCGGGTCGGTGAGCACTTCCCGCATCTGCTTCATCGTGAATGGCGACGACCATGTCTTCGCAAACTCGGCGTTCTCTCGAATCAGCTCCTTCACTCGTGGGCTAGTCATGATGATGGGTGTGTCCGTGGCTTCTCAACAAAATATTGGAACGCTCTCTGGTCTGCAGGCCTGTGAAGAAAGTGCCACAACGGGTTGGGGGCAGTGCTGCGAAAAAGAAGTCACTGGCCACGGCCCGTAGGCTTTATAAAGGCTCGACATCGAACGACAATCTCAGATTCGGTTCTGGGACGTTGCTGAAGCGCTCGCTCATGTCAGTAATCTGCTCTAGGCGACAGGACCACGCGTGCAAAAGTCTCGTACGGAGTCGAAAGCCAACAAATGGTGGTTTCCAGCTCATCCATGACTTGTCTCGGGGCGTACGACAAATCATACCTAGGTATGATTCATGACCGCAGCGCATGATTGAGCACGTACTACTCACGAGAATCTTTCAAGCCAAGTTGACTTTCCAAAGTTCAACTACTACCCGATTTGGGTTCGCTCCAAATGCGTCCTCGGCGTCTATGAGACTTACTGAGTAGCACGACAGAGATACCACATGGACTAAACTGAGCAAGGAACTACTGATCGGTGACTGACGTACTCGCAAAAGCTTGAGCCTTGTTCCGCTATTGGGGTGTTTGTAAAGCTCAAGCTCTATTCCAAAGACTTCCTCATTGGTAATGGAGTAGCATTGACCCAAGTCCTAGTAAATCGCCAGACCCGCAGCTGCTCACCAGCGAAGTATTAAAATATCGACCCCTGCCTAGGCTTGTAACCATTCATTCATTCATGCCCGCCACATGGAGGAACTCCATCTACCGCGACAGAGATGACTTGCAGTCTGAATACCATGGAACTTCACTGTACTGATACGTCCGGTGACGACTCGGGGGAGCAACCTGAGTCACTCAAGATCCAGATACCGGGGTCAAGCAAGAAATAGTACGGAACTCCGTCTTGCTCTTTCGATCATGTTAGTTATCGAGAACCCTGAACAATAAGATCCCTCATTTCGCGTATCCAAATCTGTCTCGTTTCACGTTTCTCGGGCATCACAACCCACGGCGTCGACCACTGAGAGAAACCAGGAAAGTCGGAAAGAAAAAGCCTGGGGTTCATCATGTAGCCCGTAATCCCTAGAATGACCGGCGTAGGTAGAGTCTACCTACTCGCATACTTGTAGAAGACCGTGCAAGCTTCTAGTGATAGCCATACCGTGCCGATCCTTCCTTAATACTAGAGTTTCGGCAACATTCAAGTCCCAGCTGTCACGGTCGACGAAGAACTACGATGTTTGCTCATCCGGTATGATTACGAAACCGGATCAAGACTTTGTTGTCCCATGGTCACGATTCGAAACCCAGCGCAGATTGCTGAAAGAAGAGGCTCCCCCTTTCGCCGGTATTACTGATACTGATACTGACGGTGCGTCGTCGTCCAAGATGGCGAGCCTCTCTCGCCTTCGAGCGTGCCTTGTTCAGGGAGAACCTAACCTTGCGGACTGGACTTTCCTCAAGTGTCTCTCGAACACCCGTTGCAGTTGGGAGATATCGCGGATTTATTTATTTGAATATTGCTGATCCCAAGAGCCAGCTGGCGTCCTGGTATTCCAGGGAATCATAACTGGAAAACCCGGGGTAAGAGCAAAGATTTGGATCATACAGTACCGAGTACCTCTCTTTAGCATACACAATCTCGGCGCCGAATCTGAATGGATGGATGCCCCCTGACTTACGCGCGAATATCTCTTCGTTGGACGAGGCTAGGCCGAGATTCAACATATGGATTCGATATTATTACGGCCCTTGCATCCGACCGACACAGGAGAATCATGGCTTTCTGCTGGCAAAGCAGTCCAAACACAATGCCACTCGGTGCACCAAACTTCTTGGGGAAAGACATGGCGATCCAACCGGCGAAAGCGACTTGCCGTGTGCGAATAGGTAGCTCGGGACCTAGGTAGCCAAAGGAGCTGTCGCGAAAACCTTTGTTCGAATCCATAGCTAGCATTACATATCGCTCGGCTGCTGCACGGGACTGCCGCCTCGTGTCTCTATCAAGTAAGAGTCGCCCGCGGTTTTCGCGGAGGTAATCACCACCTTACCTCCCGAGGTCCTTATGCCGGCGGCCTTATGACTAACCTTGCATGAGCCGGGCCAGCTCAACAAGCTATAACCTCTGAAGAAGGGGCCTTTTCAAGAGGCAAGGTCCTATTCTCACGTTCAACCGAGCAACATCTCAAGCTCTTCGATGCGTCTCTTCTTCCTCTCCTCTTCACTTTCACCCGCCCCCGATTGGCCAACGCCCAGGCTTCCTGCAACCGCCATCTTCCTCTCTTGCACCCGAAGCATCCTTCCTTCAATGCTCTCCTTGGTCACAAACCTAATCACCTCAACTTTCTGCGTCTGGCCCATGCGGTGCACTCGATCGATCGCTTGTGCTTCAACCGCAAAACTCCACCAAGGGTCCATCATGTAGCACCGGCTCGCCGCCGTGAGGTTTAACCCCACCCCACCAGCCCTGAGAGAAAGCAGCAAGATGCGAGGCGCTTTAGGGTCGGACGTGTTCTCCGCATTGAATGCCCGAATGACTTGTGCTCGTACCTTCTGTGACATGGTGCCATCAAACCGGAGGTAGGAGAAGCCGTGCTTCGCTAGTTGTGGAGCGATAAGGTCGAGAAAGGACGTGAACTGCGAGAACACAACCGATTTCGTATCTCGGGGTAAGGCGGACAGATGCTGCAGCAGCGCCGCAATCTTTGCTGATGTTGACGCAGTCGGTGAGTACGGATGTAAGCGGCGGAGCGAGATCTTGGTAGGTCTCGTAACACTCTCGTCGGCCGCGTACATGTCTTCCTCCGAGTCAGAATATGCAGGTGGACTGTTGTGCTTAACAACTTCAAAGACATCTCTCGGGTTGATGGCTTCTCTGCATGAAAAGCAGCGAGGGATGTCTCCTTTGTCCGTCTGCACCGCGATCAACTTCTCCAAACACTCTTTGCAGGCACTGTGCCAACAAGTAGTAACGGCAGGGTTGACCATTGGTTCCTCATAGCATAACGGACACTCGCCACTTGATTCCTGCTGGATTTGGCGCAAGGCATGGGTGGTGAATGTGGTGATTGGATCCTTCGATGTCGGATTGTCTTTTTCTGCAAGATCACTGTCCTTGGTGAACCGATTTATGAGTTCTTGCAAATCCATGTCATCGGCAAATCCGTTCTCATCAGCCGCAGCCGCAACAGCAGCGTCTTCTTCATCTGCCACAATCTCCTTGTTCCGGGTCAGGACAGGATGACAGCAAGACTGCCGCAGGCGGAGAATCTGTGCAAAGATTGTCGTGTATGACTTTAGAAGAGTGCCGGCAGCCACGGATTCATTAAAAGCACGCTTGGCCCGTGTGAGAATCAAATCGTATACTTCGCGTTCTGTCTTAGTGAGCTCGACTTCTTCAACAACGACCGTCTTTGGAGGAAGCGGCACGAGCGCTTCGCCTTCGGGTGTTTTCATGTCTTTCGTTCTTCTCAACACCAGAGGTTCCAAGACGGTCTGAACAACATTGAGGGCGCGCGCAATCTCCTTTGACTCAAAGGGCACCGTAATGAACGTTTTCCAGAAGGAGAAGTTGCTCCAAGGTTCGACTTTCAGGAATCTAACCAAGCTGAACAAATCTTCCAGACGGTTGACAATGGGTGTTCCAGTCAGGACCCATCTATGCTTTGCCTTTATCTCATAACAAGCCTTGGACGTCTTTGCCTGCCTGTTTTTGATGGTGTGAGCCTCGTCAAGAATGACCCGGTGAAAATCCACGGAGAACAGGCCGCCATGAGATGCACGATCGCCTCCAGCAGCTGACACTTGTCCAAATTCTGAGAGAACGGTGCCGTAACTTGTGATAATGACATTTGGAGCCGAGGCAGCATTCGCGGCAGAACACAGGGTCTGTAAATTGGCCGACTTCTCGCTGCCATAATAGACCATGGTCCTCAAAGAGCCTGGTTCGGAACATTTGACAGCTTCGCTCTCCCACTGCGCCAACAGGGACATGGGCGCCACAACTAACGTCGTACATGGTGCTGGTTCCACTGACGTTGACGATTGAGGCAGACGGGGAAGATGATTGACGGATGTCATGGCCTGACCAGCGGCGTCCAGGTCGATTTGTGAACGATTGGAATGTATCAGGCTGTAGATCTCGATCGTCTTGCCGAGTCCCATTTCGTCAGCCAAAATACCTCCCAGGCAGTTCTGTTCCTGGATAGGGAAGTCAAGACTGATTTCCCCAGAGTAGAGATTGACGTAGAACTTGTCTTGTCCTTCAACAAGAGGAAGTAGTTCATCATTGGCGTCTTTTGTGGGCCAGGAATACTCTTCCCAAAGCGGATGCATTGATTGTTGCTTGTCGGACTTTTCGTCTCGTTCTTTGCTAAGCATCCAATGCAGAGCCTGTTTCTGATATTTTCGTAGTTCCAGTTGGAACGTTGGCGCCGGGTTGGCTTCTGGTGTATTGAAATCAAATGACTGTGCCTTCCGGTAGAGCGTATCTAATTGATCTTCCTCCAGCTCTTCTCCCTCCTCGTCCTCGGAGACGGGCGTAGATATGCCTGATTTGCCTTTGGCTTCCTTGTCTTTGTCGTACTGCTCTGCCATCTCAGCAGCTCTCAGCAGACCCTGCTTCTTGTGCCTTGCAGTTGCTTCACTAGTTGTGGTTGGGTTGAGGTTTACTTCCTCAAATAATTTGACGAGAGCCACTTGTCGCAGGCGAAGATCCTTTTCGTCGCTGCTCTCCTTCTCTTCGAAGAACCCTGTAGCGCGGTTGTCATCCTTTGGCTTGACAAAAGCATTTGCCTCAAAGGCCGTCTTGAGGAGGTACGCACGAAGCTGCAGGTAGACTGTGTCATTGACTCGGACACGGTCAGGCGCGAAGACGCAGGTCCCCTCGAAGCGGCAGATCTTTTGGTCCAGCAAAGATGACATCCAAGAGGCCGTCTCCTCAGGTAGACGACCAAGCTCTTCACCCCTCATGTTTGTAAATCGTGTGATCACATCGGCCTTTTGGTTCCTGCCGACCACCGTCACCAATTTTCCGCCTCTTCCAATTTTCGTCTTGGGAGCAATCTTTGATCTTTCTATCCTCACTGATTCACCATGAGCAATCAGGCCTGTCCCGCTTTTGGTCATCCATGCCCCCACGCCAAATGACCCAACGTACCGTTCAGTGGGCATTGTTGCTACCGCTACCGTCTTCGAGCCGGTCTCTTTCAGGTTTGCTTGTGGTGGTACTGTGACATTGCCGCTGGAAGAAGCAGGTGCACTCAGCCACGAGCCTACACTTCTCGAAGGCAGTGACGTCCTCGTCTGCGATGCTGCAGCTGTTTTCCACGACCCATCCAAGTACATGTTGATTGCTCGCTCGAGATTGCCATTGGAGGCAGCCTCCACCTTGTCCACGACATCTTGTGAAACTTCTTCTCCGACAAACGCGCGGAATGTTTCAGCGTCGAAAGCTTGAGGTCCCTCGTTGTCGACGTCGCTCTGGGCATCCACCGGATTCGCTGGACAGGGTTCGGAGTCGTGGCCGGTAGACGAGGTGGCGGAAGTTGGTCTGCTGGATGCGTTCACGGAAGAGGAAACATGTTCGGGCAGAACTTCAGGGTCGTCGACAAAGAACCGTCTCTTCTTCCTGGGACGCACGTCGACGTCCATGGGAGCGGCCAGTTTCCCGCACTCGGTGCTGAAGGGAAAAGATCTTGTTCGAGGCGGAAATGAACGCGTTAATTGATTCGACGCGCTCACACGTGACGCGAATCCGAATACACGTCATGACAAAACCAATTTCTTTCTCCACCAGCTCCAGAGACCAGCATCGATCCAGTATACAGACTACTAGAAGATGTGTTCATTTTGAAGCTATTGAGTATGGAAGCAGAAATTTCCTTCCTTAGATCTCCTGCTCGTTGAAATGGCAGCGGCACCAAGCTGAGGAGTTGATGCGAGAAGGTTAGGCCGTGGGAGACAGACAAAAGGAGACTTCAACATGATTCTTCTTAGGGAGCATGGCCCAGCTCTATGGTTATGGCGACGGCCAATTCGAGGGGCCTTCATCCTGAAGCACCGTACATTCTCAGCAAGTACAAGGACGTCACTGTCTCTTGATCGAGATTCACCGGACGTGAAGAAAGCGCAGGGCTACTGCTCAAATCTTGTTCGGTAAGCTCAAACACCTCTGTCTTCCCTGGGTGGGTTGCTCATTGGATGTCTGTTCTAGTAACTATGATTCCCCCTCATACACTCTGGCCCATTTCATCGAACCGCACACAATTCCAGCATATCTTGCTATCCGCGCCTTCAATATCGAGCTGGCTAGGATCCCAGACGTGGTTTCAATGCCGCAGATCGGTGCTATGAGGATGCAATTCTGGCGGGAAACCATCGACAAGACTTTCAATCTTGCGCCTCCGTTAGAACCTGTTGCCATTCTGCTCGCTTCGTACTTGAAGCAAGGGAACAAGCTCAACAAGACCTGGTTCCACCGCATCATCACGGCGCGAGATCGCAAACTGACACATCCCGGCTTCACCAACCTGGCTGAGCTCGAGTCTTATGCTGAATCGACCTACTCAACGCTCTTATATCTGACGTTGTCTGCGCTTCCTTTAAACTCTCTGACCATGGATCATCTGGCTTCTCACGTTGGGAAGGCGGCTGGGATAGTAGCTGTGCTTCGTGGAGTGCCCTTGCTCGCTTTTCCACCTCCTCCAAACCTTCATTCCAACAATCCTGCTGGTATGGGCGCCGCTCCCACTCGAGACAGGCAGGGTGTTGTCACGCTACCCTTAGACATCATGTCTCAGAATGGCGTCAGGGAAGAAGATATCTTTCGGAATGGCGCAAACGCCTCGGGCATCCGTGATGCTGTTTTCACGGTCGCGACTCGTGCCTCTGACCATCTCATCACCGCACGTGCAATGCTCAAAGGCATTCGAGAGGATCAAGGTCCCGACCATGAGTTCGAGCACATGCACGATGAAGGTCATGAGTACAGCAAGTACGACGTCAGTGCCAGGACAACTACCGATAGGAGCAAAGAAGAGATCGACCGGGGTTTCGGTGTTGTAATGGGCCCAGCCGTCAGCACCCAGTTGTGGCTCGATCGTCTTCAGAAAGTTGACTTCGATATTTTCCATGAAAGTCTCCGAAGAGTTGAATGGAAGCTGCCTTTTGTTGCATGGTTGCGCAACAGAAGTGGCAAGCTGTGAGCTTTATAGCCACAATTCATCTCACGGAGACTTGAGGGCCTCCATTCGAGCATTTGTCCTTGCTTCCTGCAGTTGAGACAGGGCGTTTGCATCGACGGTGTTTCTCCGGCTTCTGCTCACAGCCATGGCATCTCCTTTTTTGCCAAGGATTGCTTCGATGGCGCCAACCAGGGCTTGCGGATCGTAGTACATGTCGCCTTTTGAGCTCTTGCGACCGTACAGCTTCAAACAATCAATCCCAAGAGAAGCAAGATGATTCCGGTCGACACGTGGAGTTCCTTCACCGGTCAGGTGAATGACATGGGTCACATATTTACGGTAAACCGAATCCCGAGCAGCTTCACGTGGATGGTGGTTTGTGCCTGGAAAAAGAAATTCGCCGTGTCGACTAGCTGCAGGAGTTGATGGTGCTGACGTTTTCAATGTGTCGTCTGACCGCGAGGTATGAAGCTTAGGTCTCCATAGACGTCCCTGTGACTGTTCGCAAGCACGGGCGATGGCTTCCACGAAGTCAAAGGCTGAAAAGGGATTTGAACTCGGACCTGTCTCGCGATCCAAGGAGCCGTTCAGAATGAGAATCTTATGACGGGCGGGCGTCGAGCTTAGAGCTTCGCCGACTCCTTTGAGGACAATGGAAGGAATGATTGAGGTGAACAGGGAGCCGATAGAGTATATGACAGCTTGGGATTGCTTGATCGCGGAGAGCACTCGTGGGTTTGCAGGTGGCAGCATTTCTTGTCCGTAGGGATTGATGTACCAAATTCGCTCGATACGGGCCGGGAGGTCTTGGTCAAGATCTTTGCTGAATTTAATATTTCGCTGCCGCAGCGTCGGGAGCGTCCCTGGCAAGTGAGCGTCCTCGATCTCCTCAGAGTGCTCGACATGATGGCGAGCACGGACGTCCGGTGGCGTGTTTGTAGGCGACACTGTCGGCATCTCCAAGGCGGTCTTGGCCGCAGGATGCGAAATGTTGTTCTGTCCTACTATGGTCTCGCCATTCGCCAGCCCGGCCGCGATGTGGTGGGAGAAGTTGGAATTGATGCTGGGGATAACGCGCACCTCTCCGTCGGGGATGGCGCACAGGCTGCTCAACAAGTAAATCGCCGACTCGAAACTACCACTGAAGAGCCGTGCACCGGTCAAAAAAAGGTTGCCGACGCTGGCCGACGTGAAGTCGAAAGTCGAAGAAGGTCTCGCGCGCTTCAGGATCTCCAGGTTCAGCAGGTTGAGAAACGACCGGATCAGCTCCTTTTTGGCCGAGGGGATGCCGTTCCAGAGCTCGGACGTGCCCCAGACTATGCTCTGCCATTGACTCGCAGCGTCCGTCGAGGAAGACGACGACAAGCGGTGATTGAACAGGTTGGAAATGGCCGACCTCTCCGTCGAGGGCGGATCGGTGGGAATCAACCGGACCAGTCGACTTCGTACGTCACCGATCCCTGGTCCGCCAAAGACACGTATCAATTCAGAAGAAGAGCCGCCGTTATCACTTATGGGGATGATGTAGGATAAAGGGCAGTCTTTGCTCTCGCGAACGGCTTCGAAGACGTCGACGAGGGAGTTGGCAGCGCTGCCACCGGAGAAGACCACGATGCCCTTAGGGGTGAGCATGGCGGATTGTGGGCGACGAAGGTTGGTTTAAAGTGGTCGGCTCAGAATAGTTATACTGGGGAGACCGAAGTCCTTATACTGTTGGGACTGGCAAGTCCATTGGTCAAATATCAAGGTATGAAGACAGTGGCCAGGTTATCATTTGCACGCGGGTGACTCAGCCTTGCGATACGAGTTTGCAAGGAGATGGCGAGATGGCGAGATATCGTCTAACAGTGCGGAAAGGCTGGTTCAGGAAACAGACCCGTCTCTTTCGTTCCGGTAGTGTGGGTTCGTATTGGGCAATTGCACGGGCCCCTAAACACGCTACTAGAGGTGCATACCTGCAGTCAATGGCGAGGTGGGCGATACGGGCTGGCCGGTCATGGAGTCTTCGAAGACGATTCTCTCTGTGTAAAGAGGTGGCGTCTCTCTGATAGGAAATCTCATTCCCCAGGTACGGACTTCTGTTTCCATGATATTGTACTGGGCGGGAATGCTCCCGTGCCTTGGTCGGTTAGAATGTCATACCTATGTCACTGTTCCTGAAACCTTTGTTCTTGTCCAGGGATCCGCCGGGGATGGTCCAGACTCGCCCATTGGCGGCTCAAGGTGCCTAAAAACTAATCCCACCAGCTCCACGCCCCCTAAGGGGCAGGTCTATCGCCTAAAAGCTTAGATTACGGGGGCGCGCTAGGCACGCCGTTGGTGCCATTGGCCTCTACTAGCCTCCAGCCCCAGTTAGGATTCTCCCCTCTCCTCCTTATGATGCCCTCCCCATCCCTCGCGTCATTGGCATTTTATTTCTGGGAGGCGCATTTCTTTTCAGCTGACTTTTCAGCACGGCGTACTATATGTTCGTCGCCAACTTCCACCCCTTTGATAATACCCACTTCTCCCTGACTCCTGTGTTGATGCCGCACACTGCTTTAATATCCTACCAAATGTCCCCCGAACTTCCTTAGCGACCTTCAATCCATCCCTCACAATGGTGAGCCATCCGGGCCATATCGTGGCCTCCTCGAAGCGCACATCGATCGAGTCTGCCGTTGAATCTGAAACTTCCCTCCCCCGTCACTCCCGAGAGCACGGCCACCGTCGGCGCCATGAGGAGGACTTGGAAGCTCAGAATCCGGTCGTCGTCGAGAATCCTCCGTCACATGTCCGGATCAGGGACGGGGGAGAACACCATCACCACGAAGGAGATGGTGCACCGCATTCGCCGACCCTCAATCGCAGCGAAACCGGTGTCTCCAAGTACTCGGTAAGGTCTCTGCGGAGGAGAGGTCGAGCAGGTACCACCAATGTCTTGTATGGGCCGGGCGAAATGGGCAGATCAACAGGCTGGACTCCGGGGCAAGAGCCTGGAATTGACACGAGTGACCCAGCTCCTCCCTACAGTTTGGGTGTCGTAACGCCTGCCGATGCTGCCCACCTGGAGAGACTGAATCAACGGTGTGAGATTACCGTGGTGGACTTCAGCAACGAGACGGTTTCCACCACAGATTTGGACAACGATAACCTCGACGAGTTTCTCCAGACGGGGCCGCCCGAATGGGCCGACGTCCGCTGGATCAACGTCAACGGACTTTCTTGGGACGTGATTCGAGTGCTGGGAAACCACAAACACCTCCACCGGCTGGCCATTGAGGATTTGTTCAACACCAAGAATCGCACAAAGGTCGACTGGTACAGTGACCACACCTACATGATCCTCCCCTTGCAGAAGCTCATCAACATCGAGGAGAGTGACTCTGATTACGATTCCGATGCCGACGATAAAGAGGACTCGAAATCTGACGAGGCTGAGTCCGAATTTCGGACCAGAATCATCACAGAACGCCAGCGGCGACATCGCGAACGGAAGCGGAAAGGGGCCATCCGCTCTTTGATTGAAGACCTGCAAAAGCCTCTTTGGAAGAAGAACATGAAGAAACAGACCCTCAGATCTCCAGATATTTTAAGCGACGGACTCCAGCCCTCGAACAGCTTCAGACAAGCGAGCAAAGTGGAAACGCCATGGGCGCCCAGGACCATCCGCACCATGCAACGCTATCACGCCGGCCCAAATCAAGACCGCATCGAGTACATGGAGCGTCACGCCGTACTTGCCCACAAGGGTTTAGGTGTCTCTATGGAACAAGTGTCTATCTTCCTCTGTGCGGACAATACCGTCATCTCCTTTTTCGAGTACTCTGCACACGATGTACAGACCCCCATTATCCGCCGTTTGCAGTCCCCAGGCACAATTCTCCGTCAGTGCTCCGACGCCAGCATGCTCTGTCAGGCGATCCTTGATGCAATCATCGACCTTGCCCTTCCTGTGACAACGGCGTACCAAGATGCAATAGGGGATTTAGAACTCGATGTTCTTACGGATCCGGACATCCATCAATCATCCACTTTGTACATCTTGACATCTGAGATCGCCATCCTCCGCAACGCCATCGCTCCAGTGGTGCAGCTTATCGGCGCCCTCAAGGACCACAAGACCAGCGCCCAGCCTGCGACGGCAACCCACTCACGCGTCGCTACTCCAGCTGCGCTCGACCAACGGACCGACCCATTGAACAAGGCCGCGCTGAATAATGCCCAAAACAATGACCTCCGAAAGCACTACAGTGCCCCGCCATTGGTGAGCGGCGTCGAGATCTCTCCACTCACAGTGACATACCTGGGGGACGTCGAGGACCATGCACTTCTCATCCAAGACGGCTATGACCAGATGCGCCGCAACGCGGACAATCTGGTCGACCTGATCTTCAACACCGTGTCCGCGTATCAAAACGAATCCATGAAGCAACTCACCATCGTGACGTGTTTTTTCCTTCCTCTGACCTTCTTGACTGGGTATTTTGGACAGAACTTTGCGCATTTCGCCGGTGTGAGGGACCATAGCGACGCCTTCTTCTGGGTCATTGCAACGCCCGTGTCGGTGGTGGTGTTCTTGTTGTTGATGAGGGACGTCATGGTTCGCTGGCTCGCCCGGTGGGCGAGTAAGGCGTTGATTGCGAGAGGGAGGAAGAGGCGGATGGCGCAGAATGGAGAGCAAAGTTGAATTCCCCTGGTTATCTACAGGATTTATGGGATGGAGCGGATGGGAGTTAGATGGGATGTGTTGAGGTTTTTCTTCGAAGCAAGCGTTCGAATATCCCTTGTACATTGTGCCTTGTATGATCTTGGATTTGTTCTTTTTCTTTTCCCTTGCCGTGGCTTCACCTATCGTTCCTCCTCCTTCGTCCTCGTGTATCAATCACACGTATCACAGACTGCCTATATATATATATATATATATATATATATATATCCACCTAGCTCGCTTAGGTAGTAAGTACACTCTACGAAGAGGAATTTTTCTCTTCAAAATGACTCTCCCCCACTAACTCCTAACTAACTACACATGTAACAAGAGCATCTCTCCTCGAAGCCTCTCCTCCCCCCTCCTCTTCGCGACCACCGATGTCACCAAGCGGTCCGTTGGGAGATCAAAGCAGATAAGATAAACTTGATTCGTACTGCTCGAGAAAAAGGGGGGCAGACGGATAGATATTGAGTCTTTGCAAGGTGTTCCGCAGGCGTTCCTGGGCGCCTTGTCCATGGATCTGGTGTTATTTAATTATCTGCAGGTGGTCTGGAATCCATTTCGTCTAATAAAAGAAACAAAACATAGACCCGAAACCTCTATCTAGAGATACACCTAGTCCACTCTCCGTCCCAGTAATGCAAGTTGTAAAAAAACACAGTTCATTTTCGTGGGTATCGTCAAACACAAAAAAAGGAGCACAGAAACACACAAGAACCGTGACAGTGACGGGGTTCCGCATCCCATCCAGTACAGCAGAATAGCAACTCCCGGATGTTCGGCAGTTCCAAAGCCAACCCTTTTCGATGCCAACATGATCCATCCACCGGTGTCTAACTTTCAAGCAATCTACTAGGCTTGGTCGTCGATGAACGTGCCCCAGAATGCCTCCTCGTCCACGGTCTCATGTCCGGGTTTTGGTACCTCCTGGACACTGTCCTTGCGATTTTCATCTTCGTCGTCGCTCAGTGTTTCAGCCTTGGCTAGCGACTTCCCCTTGCCTTTTCCTTTCGCTTTTCCCGGCGCCTTTTCATCCGGATTGTCCTCTCGTTTTCGCTTCCTCACCATTAATTTCAACTCAAGAGGGATCAAGCCCCTAGCTGGTCCAGGCGTATCCTTCATATCCAGAGTTTTTCGGCACACAGGACACACGCCTTTGGACTTCCTAGATGCCGGCATATTTTCCCTTCGTGTTTCAATGGACCATTTCAGGGTATCGAGAATGCAACGGTGGCAAAAGACGTGTCCGCATGCCGTAGACGTTGCATCAGTGGGGGTATCCATGCACACGGGACATTTGTACCCGGTCAACGACGTGCGACCGCTTTCTGTTCGTGGGTTCTGAGCCAAGATAGCGTCTTGTCTCTGCTTTGCAAGAGCGGCGGAGAGGGCGTCAGCGTCATCAACGGCAGTGAGATCAACGGATTCGATTGGGGGATCTTCTGTTCCAGCGTCTGGCTTGGGTGAATGGCGATGCTGAGAAGATTGATGGGTGCTCCTCAGGGATGAGGAGGGAGGCGACATGGTGGTCTGTGAAGAGATTTGGCTTTGGCTTTGGCTTTGTTCCTGCTCGACACGCTGACGGTGTCTGCTTCTGGCTTGAGTGCGTTCCCAGTTTTGGTGGTTTTCTCGTTGACGATTTATCGCCTCTTCCTCAAATGCTGGAGGTAGTCTGCCGTCGTAATCTGGATCCTGTCGGTTCAGGTAAACTCCAGGGCCGGCCGGCCAGAATCTGAAGCTTGGAGGGAGGCGAGGTAGTTCGCGGTCAGAGCTGGTGGGTCGGGCACCGTAGACGGGCTCGTCGAGGGCGTGGAGCCTTCTTGATCGGTGGGCAGAGGAAGGATCGTGAGGATGCGTGGTTTGGGAAAGGTAGTGACTTTCGGCTGAGATTGAACTGCGTGATCTTTGCGGGGAGCTGCTCCTCTGCGCCGTCAAGTCCACCAACTGACTGGGGGCTTCGCTGTCTGTCCGCAATCTTCTGGCCTCGTTCCCTGGCAGCGGCCTTCTGGCTTGGTAGAAGGCTTCTTGGGCGGTTAGGAGCGCACGGTTTGCGTTTTCTAGGGCGCGGTTGACGTCGACAAGGGGGTCTTGGAGACTGAGCGCTGGATGAGGGAGTGTGGCTTGCCTGCGAGAGGCAGTATCTGACATAGCATTGAAGAAGTCGCGGAAGAGCCTGGGCGAAGATCTGCGCAAGGGCTGTGGGGGTCGCTGTCGAGAACGATCGGGTGGCGGGAGAGGAGGAGCAGGCTCGATAGCAGAAGCAGAGAAGGGGGTCGAATGATAGGAAGAGCCAGCGCTCATGGTTGACACCAGAATAAATGGCTCAAATAGTCTAATACCATCCCATTGCTCAGGATATGACGCACTGATTGATACAGATGGTAAAGGACCAAGAACTGAGGGCGCAGTTTCACAGTGGCAATCTTTTGTCCATACAAATTCACTGAATCTTGCCGCTTTATGAAGTTACTACCGACTTGGAGTGCAGACCACGAGATATGTACATAGGTACCTTGGCCAGATCCTTGACTGGAACTCCAGTAAACTCGCGGTTGGAGCAAAGTCAATTATTAGATGCTAATCCTTACCACAAAGGACCCCGTCAAAGGCATCAATCCGGAACCAACATCGGGCCATCAAACATAATATCTCGGTCGCCTCGACTCTGTCGGAGGCAGCGATATACTGTAAACAGCCGAGGACTAAGCCGGAGACACGTCGTTGGGTGGTCGTCGACCTGCCTCGTATATGACAAATAATCAAAAAGCCATCAAGCTAGTCTTCAGCTACAAAAGCCGTGGCTCGATGCTCTTGCCGCCCTTATGCGCTTTCCTGCAAGGAATAATAATTAGTGTACAGCCCAGAACGTCGAACCACATTAAGACACAAGCCTCAAAACCTTTCTGGCTACCCTCGTTCCTTGTAGCTGTTTGGCTCTATCCCATTCTCAGGCGAACCTGAACGGCCATCGCCCAAATTCTATTAGTTCCGGCTGGTGCTGAGTCTAACGCTGAAGGAGTCGGGCGTCAATGGTCCGTGATCCAGCAGTACTAGGTAGTCCTGATAGGGATGGATGCCAGTGACACGGGGCCGCAGCCTCGTCAAATTCTGGACAAGGCTGAGGATTGCAGCTGAGATGGTTCTTGATTTGTTTCGATTGCTGCACTGGCGATCGCAAAAGCCTTTTCAGAAGAAAGCATGTCTCATCGCCTGGCTACACTCCTTCAGCTTACGGAACAAATCATTCCGCACTGTCATCAACTTTATCACCGAATCCTTGGGCTTGAATGCACGGGGCTAGACAGGGTATTGGTGCGAGAGATCGGGAACCCTTAGGCAAAGTGACTGTAACTGCTGAGTTGCGTAGCTGCTGAGTTGCAGAGGTTGAAGGGAGGAACGTGACGCCCGCCGGGTCCCAGGGACTCGGTCAAGGCGCGTTCTGCACTGCAGTGGTGACTCTGGCGCCAAGTAGAACCAGACTGTACCCTGCGCTTGCCGGTCCACTCACAAAAACAAACACACTGGAAATGTTCGAATCCCACTGGGAGCGAAAAAAACCCCGTGGTCTTTTTTCACACACAATTCATCTGCAAATGCAACAAAAACTCTAGCCTGAAGCCCAACTCCACGCTCAGGAAGTTGAGGTTCAGGTCGAGGGAAACCCTCCAGTCGTATAGGAGGATTTTTTCCGTCAGTCTCGTCAGGTTCTCTCCGGCCTCGGACAATCCCACGCGTAGGGAGCCGTTATAGGCGCGGAACCGCCAGCCATGACTCGATGGTGGGCGATCAGGGAGTTACCTTCTAGGATTCTCGTAACTCCCAAGAGACGCTGTCCCATATCTGGTGTGCACACCCTCACGCCCCAGCTAGCTCCTCATCTGGCTCACTCGGTGTGAACCCTCAGAGGCTGGAACCCGGGATAGATACAGGAATTGTTGGAGGAGATTCTGAGTTTATAAAATATATCCCCAAACAACAAGCCTCAGTTGGTGCTGGTGGGTCAATCAGGTGGTCAGAGTTTTGCTCGACTTGGCGCGAGTTTAGCACCCTTTCCAGGCGTCGACCGCATGCTCTTCGTCTGGCCTGCAATGCTGATATCTTTCGTTCCTCTGCTTCTTCTGCTTTTTCTTCTTCATCTTCGAGAGTCCTGGCAATGATGTGGCCTAGGTGAACTGTCTTCAAGGTGCAAGAAGGCGCACGCAGGCGGGTGCGGTGCGAAGAGACGGTGTGTCCTTCATTATATTGGGTCATTCTTTGCCTCCGCACTCCAATGAGCTGACAAGAGTTGCGACTAGAGATGCAGGAGCACAGTCCGAGCTTGCCCCTTCAATCAGTTTTGCCATTGTCAGGATGTGCTCGGCAGTCATCAATATCATCAAGGGAGATGCTTTTGACAGGTCAGCTTTCTTTGCAGCACCAATCCTCAAAAGACCTCTTGATATTTTGCCAATACAGAGGCAGGAAAGCTCAGTCACTTCCACAAACTCACCGCCTTCCTGGATCGTCCCTGGAGAGCATTGTGTGTACAATCCACACGAGAGACAATAATTTCATTTTGGATAACGAATACATTTCTTTTGCTTGGCAGCTCAAGCAGAGTAACATCTGCTCGGAGTTTACTTGGTTTCACCCCGACTGTGCCGCTTTTTAAACCGACACCGCACGACTCCACCCTCGCTCATCATCTTTACACCTCTACTCACCCTCAACGTCGCTCTCACACCTCCGATAATTTCCAACTCGGCCTGCCATTATGTCTCCGAGCCGAGCAGGAGATGTGGCCTGTCTCTAGGTCTCTAGGTCCCTAGGGGATATGGTTTTGTCTTTCCTTCCCTGCCGCTGAGAGGGTCCCCTCGGTCTGATTTCCCTGTCTAGTTTGTTCTTATGGAGTATTAAATAGAGCCCAAACCTATCGCAGATAAATTATGGGCTTAAGCAGAGGTAAGTGGAAAAAAAAGAGGAGCGCACATAAAAGTTAATCAAGTCCGAGGAGGGTATAAGTATACCTTAAAGATGAAGAAGGATTACGACCGGGCCCTGCACCGCTGCATTCTGTAAGAGCCTATAACACTGCTTGCCCGGCCTCCGAAGAGACGGTTGACCCTAATATTGTGGCCTAGCTGCCACCTTCAGCTGATGAGAGTCTGAGACGTCGCAGGCCCAACATCTGGGCGTCACCATGTCCATCCGAAGCGTGTCTTCGTAACGCTCGAAGGGGTGTCTCAGCCAGCGGAGGATCTCGCGCCGCTTGCGGGAGAGAGCGATGAGAAATGCATGGCTCAATACATGCCCGCTATCAGGGGCGACTTAGAGTCAATCCACCAAGCAACGAATTCCCTTTCAATCACGCTTTGTCGACGATCCGATAGGTCCTGCGAACCTGGTGATTCAAACAGCTGTCATGTTCAGCATCTTCCAGCGTAGAAGCTTTTACTCGTTTCACAGCGTCCACGAGCCATAAGTCATGGTCTTCAGACGAAAGTCGCGGTTCGACATGCAAGGGACTTCGTCAAAACCGATCTGGATTCATGGACGAGGGAGGGCAGGTGAAACGTCGGAACTCAAGGGACAAGCATTTGGAAGCTCGCCCCAGCGGCCAGAAGCTCCATACTCGGCAAGTATACATAATTCACACAGACGAGCAAGTAAGGTTTGCGTGAGCATAGTCGAAGGCATCCAGATACCCCATGAGCTGGACCACAGCGGCGCATACCACCAGGATGTGAAAGATCGAATGGGAGCCCCATAGGTCGAATTTGCCGGGATATCGACTTTCGGGAAACCTAGTCTTAGAACCACATGTGTCAGGGTCAATTTCTCTCTTGTGTGCGAAAATGGGAGACTTACTGCATAAAACGCAGTCCCCGATAAAAGGCAGCCTGCTTTTGCCATAGTATAGGGAAAAGCTTTTCTCATCATCTGCGATATGCCGAACACACTGAGTCCATGGATCAAAGGCGCAACACCGCACAGGCCAGTCGCCACGAACATCAACGCTCGGAAGAGGCGATACTTTGAACCCTGGTACTTGGGATGCATTGTCATGAAGATGGTCAATGTCCCGAAAACTCCAATCTATCGAATGAGGAAAGAAAAGCGTTAGACTCAAGTACCAGATCTGAGATGAAGAAAAACAAAACTGTGCACATTGAGCTTGACTAACCATAGACCAGTAGATATTGCGTGGCAAAGGTTCACACCAGAAAACCATGTATATTCCCAAGGCAAGGTCCCCCAGTATGAAGACCACTACACCCAGCATGTCCAGTCGCAGGCATAAATGTTCCACGTGTTTGGAGTGGTTCATCAATGTATGGTACGTCGCCGACAACGACAGACACGTGACGGCCGCCAACATGAAGATGGAGAAGGCAACGAAATCAGCGCCAGTGACCCTGGAGTATCTGCTGGTAAGATACTGCTGGATATACCACTCGCCGAGCAGGAAGAAAACGGCCGGGATGAGGTGGGTATAGATGTTGACCGACTCGTTGTGGATATACGACCAACTGCAGAACGAAGCGTGAGCCGAGCCCGAGATGGGCCGATAGCCATGGAGAATCCACTGATTGGCTTCACGTCGGTACCATTCCGGCATCTCATCGAACGAGAGAAGAACTGGACGTCCTGCCTTGCCGGGCTTGGATGCGGTGTCGCTGATGGATTCCATCACCCCCTTCTTGTGCGCCTCTGGCGGCTCCGGGGGCGAAACTCGAAGACGGGCAGCGGATACCATTTGCTGGCGTGCCTAACGATAATCTAAGGTACGAAGGCGGGATTTTGAGAGTAAGTGGAATTGTGAGATGAAGAAAGAGGTTTCCGTCTTGCTTTGTTACTTGCACTGCTGCCCTTTGTACTACTTCAGTTGTTCTCGCTAAGCGCCAGCCATGGCGCTTTAATTGCCGCACCTTTTTGTCACGGCCCCAACAGCTCGCATGTGGGTAACGGAACAAGCCCGAACCAACCACATCGGGTTGTTCAAGCCAGGATGATCAGCCTCCAATTGCGCAATTGGTCCTTGCGACAAGAGCGGGGCGGCTCAGGGGCACCGCGGGTCCGCGACATGGATCCTATCGGGCACAGCCACGGGGTACCCGGTCCGTGCTAGCGCCCCTCTCCAAATCAGTACCTACTCTTACGTGTGGTGCGCCTGCTGCAACAGCCTGCATGTCTCGTACAGACCAGGACTTTTGAGACCTTGATTAGCTGCATTCCAGGTTGTATGCGCTTCTGGCTCAAGGGGCATCGAGGAATCGAGGTGTGAGTGGGCCCGAGCAACTTGACTGACACCTGACACGCCCATGATGAGGCGGACGGAGAATGCTGATCGAGAGCCTGTCTGTTTGTCCCCTCGCATGTTCCATGCTGTAAGAGGTACTCTTTGATTGATTGACTGTTTTACTCACCCATACGAACGCGCATGATGTTCTGGGCAGTCGACCTTGTCTAAAAACTGGCCAGACAGTCCAGCTTCGACATACCTAATAGAACCGCGTCGGCACCGACGCTCCTGGAGTCTCTCGTTCCTTGACCTGCGTCCAGGCCGGAGATGGCGTCCCGTGACGACTACACAGTCGGGTGGGTTTGCGCACTGCCTATAGAGGTCGCTGCAGCCAAAGCAGCGCTTGATCACGTCCATGACAAGCTACCTCTGGATCAAAACTCAGACGACAACAATAACTACATTCTGGGGAGCCTTCAAGGCCACAACGTCGTCGTGGCGTATCCCAATTCCAGGGTGTGTGGTAAAACGTCGGTGGCCGACGTGGCCACACAGTTGCACGCAAGCTACCTATCTGTCCGGTTCACTCTCATGGTTGGCATTGCGGGAGGAGTGCCCGATACGGAGGAGGATATTCGTCTTGGTGATGTTGTTGTCGGCAAGTCGACAGCGGGCTGGCCGGGTGTCGTTCAGTATGACGTGAACGGGGAGCGAACGGAAGACCAGTTTGTTCGCGGCAGGCCATCAGATCATCCAACACCCTTACTTCTCACCGCTATGGGTAAGGCCGAGACAGCCGCCATTTTTGATGAAAGTAAGGTGCCACTATACATCTCGGAGATCGTGCACAAAGACCCCGTCACCTTTGCGTACCCTGGCCCGGAGCAAGACGTCCTCTTCGAGCCAAATTATGATCATGCCATCGTCGAATCCGAGGAAAGCGGATGCAGTCATTGCGACCCAGATAGGATCCGATCCCGGCAGCCTCGGGAGGTACAGGATCCCATAGTTCATTATGGCCTTATTGCCTCCAGCCATCACTTGACGGGCCACGGAGCGACCCGGGACAAATTCGCACACAAGCATGGCATTCTCTGTTTCGAGACAGAGGCAACCGGGCTGAGGGACGCCGCCCAGTACTTGGTCATCCGAGGCATTTGCGACTACGCAGATTCGCACAGGTCCGAGCTCTGGCACGCTTACGCCGCGGCGGCTGCCGCAGCGTATGCAAAAGAGGTCCTCTCTTTCATACCCACCGTGTCCAAGACGATGCCTCTGGCCACAAGCTCGTATGCTGAGGCCGCACCCGTTCTTGACGCTTTGCTTCTGACAAGACCAGAGGTTGATCGGAGGTCCCTCGTTGCATTGAAAGGGCGTAGGGTTGATGGCACCTGCGAATGGCTCATACAGCATCCCCATTATCAAGAGTGGCTGGCAGATGCGAGTCACCCGCTGCTCTGGATCTCAGGTGGCCCCGGGAAAGGGAAGACCATGCTGGCGATTTATATCACCGAGGTGCTTCAGCCAGTGGTTGACGCCGCCGACAATATTCTTCTCTACTACTTCTGCAGTAACCGCGACAAAAATCGGAACACCGCGCTGACCATCATGAGAGGCATCCTGCACCAATGGATCGACCTCTGTCCTAGTCTGGCCAAAGACATCAAGATTTCCTTCGATGGGACGGAAACAACCAAATATACCATTTCCAGTTTTGCCGCGTTGTGGAGGGTTTTTCTGACTCTACTTCAGCAGAGCACGTCTTCCCAGGTGGTCTGTGTTCTGGACGGTTTGGATGAATGCGAAAAGGAATCACTCAAGCAGCTTCTCGATGCCGTTATGAATTACTTGTCGAAGTCCGGGGAAAAGGCAAGGCCACGATTGAAGCTCATTATCCTCTCCCGACCTCAGCCGGCTGTTTTGGAGAGCAAACTCGGCCAATACCCGCAGATCCAGTTAGACGAGTCCGACACGGAAATTTCGCGTGATGTCGAGAGATACATTGTCGCCAAAGTTGCTGAACTGGCAGCCGAGCAAAACCTTTCCGAAGAGATGGTCGCGCAGGTTCAGCAGACCTTGCTGGCCGGCGCTGATGGGACCTTTCTGTGGGTTGGATTCGTTGCCAATGAGCTTCAAGGCAGGAGTTGGAGCAAGATCGATGAAGTTCTCCGCCATGTTCCTAAAGGCCTGGGTGGGATTTATCAGCGGCTTCTTCAGCAGGTCGCTGACAAGAAATCATTGGTTCCGATTCTTCAATGGGTCGTTCTCGCTGCCCGGCCCCTCACCCTGGAAGAATTGACCGTGGCCGCAGCGATCGAGTCTGACGGCACTCTTCCAGCAACGCAAGTGACCAAGAATCGGCTCAGGCTCGGCGGGTTGCTCGTGAAGGTCGAAGGAGATGTCGTCAACCTGGTTCACGAATCGGCGAAGGAGTTCTTTCAGAGCGATCAAGTCAACATCAAAGGGATCAACATGTTCCATATGAGCCAGCACACCCACAGGAGTCTCATGCAGACCTGTTTAGCACACGTCGAGCGTGGATACGGAAATCCCGGAAGGGTTCACGAGATGTCTGGCCACGATCCATTCTTATCTTATGCTAGCCAATACTGGCCGGTGCATTTTCACCACGCCATTCATGTGATCGATGCAGCGTCCGAGTTCTCACGTCCGTTTTTCCAGGTTGACTCACCGATCCGGGACGAATGGTGGAAAGTGTACTGGGAGCAGGAGAAGAACGGCGGAAGCCCGCCCTCCTTCACACTCTTGCATCTCGCGGCATACTTTGGCAACGTACCCTGGGCCAAGTTGATCATCAGCAAGCATGCCCGTTTCATTTCGCGAAAGGACAACTACGGCCGGACGCCGCTGTCCTGGGCCGTCAACCAAGGTCACCGAGAAATGGTGGAACTGCTGCTTGAACGTGGTGCGCGTGTCAATTTCAAAGATCGAAGCATGTTGACGGCACTCCATATTGCGGTCACCGGACATCACAAGGACGTCGTGTCTTTGCTGCTCGAATACGGCGCCCGTCTCGAGGCCGAGGGGGAGCATGGTGATACGGACACGCCGTTGGTGCGAGCCATTCTGGCGAATTCCAGAGAAATGACGCAGCAACTACTTGAGCACGGAGCGCGCGTGGACAAATTGCCAGCTCTTCTGGGAGTTGCCTCCCTGAGGGGACCTACGGACCCGATGGACGAGCGGGTGAAAGAGCTACTTGGGCTCCAGGAGCAGGTCTTCCTCGCACGCTTCAAGCGATCGTCGCGGTTTGTCGACATGGTCATGAAAGGGTTTGGCCTTTCCCTCCGCTTTCCGCTCGTCCTCGAATTGATGTCCTTCTATCTCAAGTTTGTGGCGTTGAACCGCTGGGACAGTCTGTCCGTGCTGCAGGAGCTCGTCCAGGAGAACAAAAAGGACGAACTGCGAGAATGGGCGAAACTGTACCACGTGTTCTTCTTGGGACTGGTTGTCGCCAGGAATCCGAAGAGGCTGAAGGCCATGGGCGACCTGTCGACGCACATCTTGCAGAAGGTCGCGCCCAGAGATCTTCAGGCACTGCTGGCCATCACGGTCTTCACCGGCATGGATACGAAACTCACGGCTGTCCGACACGGATGGAGAGAAGGGGATGCCGTCACCGCTGCGGCAATTTCAGATTGGGCGGCCATTGCCTGCGACAGGGACGCGCTGGAGTTCTTCCACTTCGGCATCCGCGAGTTTTTGGCCGACTTCGATGGCTGTGTTCGAAATGGGGATCGGGAAGAGAACGTACTTCGGACGGCCCTGCTCGTGACGGCCCACTTCGCCATGATCAACAAACGGGAACCAGGGCCGATCGAGTATTTCTCCCGGGTCGTCGCGGAGTTCTTCGAAGGATACATCGGCAGCAGTTACGAGGTCGGATTGTTCAGCGATGCAAATCAGGCGTGCGCCAATGAGCTCTTGGTCATCAGCTCAAGTCGCGACTCTGCCCAATTGCGGCTCTTTCTGACCACTATTTTCCACTTCGCCCAGCAGGCCCATGAGAAGGGCCAGGACCGCTTTCTCAACGTCCCCTCGGCAGCATGCTTGATACTCTGCCAGGAGGATGCCACGCCTCACCGGTGGCTGATTGGTGAGGCCCTTCCGGAGGAATTAGGGCCGTTGATAGCGAAGGAACCTCCGGGATCGCTGCAGAGGCGGGCTTGCAAGACTTTTGTGGAGTGCCTGATCATTGGAAAGCAGTATGGCTTGACATTACCTAGGGGCGCACCGAGACAAAGAGTGGAACGGCATCTACGGTCCTTGCCGGGAGTCGGAGACATGATGAATCGCATCCTTGGTTCGTAAAGGGGGATTGCGCGATGCTCTTGCCTGAGAAGGCCCAGAGCTAAGTCACGAGGAAGATTTGAGCCTGTTTTCATAATTGTACTTTACGTGCTTTGGGATTTGATCCGAAAAATTCTTCCAGTCGAGGGACGTTAATTTACAGGAAAGCGTCTGGATGTACCTTTGACCCTTGATTTACAGAC